TCATTTGTTAATTTAAGCTTAGCAGTTTTACGAAATGACCTTACAAGGAAAAGTAGAAGTGATTTTCTTGCATAATTTCCTTTTCAAATCAATCACATCAATAACATTAGGCAAAAGAAGATAATCTTTTTTTGCAAATGACTTCTCTACCGTAGAAGTAGAAAATTCGAGAGACTTGTCAACAACCTTTTTAGTCACATTGGTTTTCAGTACAAAACTATGTTTCAACAAGATAAATATAGCAAGAGGCATGTTACTCAGACCAACTCCAAGATCTATAATAAACTCACCAAGTTTAACATGTCGAAGATTGCAAAGTGTAGTGAACATACCTGGGATGTTGCATTTTGGAGGAAATTCCAAATCAAATCCATTGAAAATAGTTCCCCATCAGAATAATATCATTACCTTGGAGGGAAGATTCCATTTTGTTATAGACTCACCATTATGAGATAACTTTTCAAGATTGTCTACAAAAGGAACATTAGTATCGCCGTTGAGAGAATTCTCTAAGGTTCCTTGCTCCCTCGTGTCCTTGTATGGCTCCAATAACTTATCTAAATAAGACAAAAAGTTTGCAATAGTAGGACAAGTATAAAGAGCAATACTTCCTCTTCAGTTATACTTTCCAAGGCCTTTCTCATAACTTCATCTTCCTTTGCATCTTCTAAGCTTTCTGCATCTTGCACAGTTCTGGCTTCTACTAATGGAATCTCCTTTTGGGAAAGGGTTTCCACATTCACTGACTTAACATCTTCTTCAATTGGTTTTCTAAGTCTTCCAGGACAAGGAGGAGGCATCACAATCTTTCATTCTTCCTTCTAGCGTTTCTTTCTTCTCCACCATTTTCGTGCACCATGTTTGATTTGATCTTTTTCAACCACCATTGTACATTCTTCCACTGTAAATTTATTCTCCACAGGATCTAGAACTTGAACGTTCTAGCTCTCTAGTCTACTCACGTTTATAGCCAGTAGGGACATTTGTTTCTCAAAATTCTCCATGCCATTTGTTTGCTGCACACTATCATTTGTCTTCTGTATTGCAAGCATTGACACTAGCTTGAGAATCCTCCACACTAGTTGCTAAACTTCTAACCAGTTCTTCCAACAACATTTCTGGCTATGGTGGTTCTCGTGGAAGTTGATATAGTTGTGGCGGTGGTGGCAGCGGTGGTAGTGGGTTGTAGTTGTAATTTTTGTAGTTTTGCCAACTTGGGTCATGTGTATACGAATTATGCTCGTAACCAATTTGCAGCGATCCCGAGAATCGTCCTACATTACTCCCTTGTCTTCGCGGATAGCGTTGAAAATATTGATAACAATCTTTCGTGTGACCGCTCATAGAACAAATCTCACAACATTGTATCTGTTTGGCATAGCATAAAAGAGAGGCTAATTCATTTAGTTGTTGACTAATGGATAAGCATCTTACTTCATCCGGATCCTGATATCTATATCGATCATATCTATACGAATCCATGGTAAAGATGAAATCTCAAATGCCTATATAATCTAAAAAAACAAAAAGAAAAACAAAAACAACTTCCAAAATGAAATAAATCACTTCAACGTGCTCCCCGGCAACGGGGGCGAAATTTGGTGAGTGTCAAACCAACAAAAATAAAAGAACCTACTCCTAACAAATTTAGTGGTATAGCGATGAGTAGGGTCGTCTCCTCAGGGAATAAAAAAGTGACAATATTTGTAAGCAAAAGTAAAGTAACTAGGATGGTTGTTTTGAGATTTGTAACTAGTGAATAACAAAAATAAATTGCAACTGATTAAAGATCATTTTTGAATAACAACAATGAGAGAAGCTATAGTCAAGGGAATAACATCCACCTCGATGTGTACAACTGGTCATCGATGCAAAGATTGACTCAACAATTTATGAACATATTGGTTATTATTGTTGGAACCTCCTAACCACTCATCCTTTTTAATTAGGCACCAGCGATTACGAAACCTTCGTTAACCACTCTTTAGCCGAAAACACTGTTTGGAACCTCCTAGAACTTAGTTTTTGACAATCAAAGACCCAATTCAACTTTTAAATAAACAAACCTTGCTTAACTAAAAGTTGATTCTTTATTCTCACAATACAATGAAACTACTTTGCAAGCAATTAATTGTATTGTTATTCTTAGGAATAGGCAAACCTTGTTGTTCAGTAAATTAGGTTACCTATGAAAAGTTTAATGCTACCAGTTATTCAACTAGTGCCAAATAATCAACCATACAAATCAAAGATAATAAATAAAAACTCACAACTAGTAGTGATATAAAAGCAACTAGATCTCACAATTTAAATAAAATCAAGGCTTCAATAATCCTTCGACTATAAAAGGATATTTTAGCTATTAATCTTAATAAAATCAATAGCAAAGGAGTAGATAATTAACGTTACAGAGGTAGCAGAGAAGAAACTCGAGAGAAATCTTCCCTTCCGGAACTTCAGATTTGTGTCGACCACTCTTCCTCCTCTTGATCTTGTGTTGGCCGAATTTCCTCCCCTATACGGCTGAAAACACTCCTAATAAGTCGGAGAAGAAATCCGATCTTAACTCCTTTCCCTACTTTTGAAAGGTAATTTTCAAATTGGACTCTTTTGACAACTCACCTCTTTAAGTAGCAAGAAAATTAACCTAGACCTTTTTATAGACTCAAAACATTAAGTTTATTTAAGGAATAAGAGTAACCTCCAAGTAAAAGATTACTTCTTTGGAAAGAATTGCCTATTTGAGCGTGAACACAACTTCTTATGAAAAACAGTTTTTCATCATTTTCGTCCAAAGCATCTCCTATGATCAAATGAAGCACAAAACACACATATTAGCATAGATACTACTCAAAATAATACATAAATAACCATAAATATTACGCTAATATTGACCTTATCAAGTGTCCTCAAAATATAACCACAAGAACTTCAAAAATTACCGCTAGGACTTCAAAATATAACCACATCAATTTCATAAAATAAGCACCGGAATTTTAAAAAGGGTTAAATGCAAAACATATTTTTTCCCCATTGGTGTTTAGGGTTTAGGGTTTAGGGTCAGAAGGATGTAAACGCCCGCTCGATGGTTATGGTGTAGTTGAGGGCAAAAACCGAATTTCGAGTTTAAACATTTTGATTAGTGATATAAGAAAGGCCTCATTTCAAGAAAAACTTTGATGGTTTCTGGGTCCGTCCGCTTTAAGCCTTGTGGTTAAAAACGTTCAGGGTCAACTCCAATTGGTAAGGAAAATGTTTTTTTGATACTTTCTGTCTTTGTGTCAGAAGAAACCGTAACGGAAGGTAGTATGCACGTGGAGGGATAAAATTGTCTTTTGCTTAATATTGGCCACGTCCTATTTTTTTGGAACGAACAGTGAGGGATGGTGCTCGTAGACAAACGAGTATATTAAGACACAGATGTAGTAGTTGGTTCAACTTGGTTGTCATAAAGTTGAAACTTGTCGTTGACTCAAAGAGGAGAGAGAGAGAGAACTTCGACCGTATCGACAAACGGGGGTTGCCAGTAGAAACTTGAGTTCCAGATGAAGTGAAGGAATCCATCAACTCTTTCAGTTCGCATTTTAATTCAGACTCAAGAATGGAGGGTTTGTTACAGAGTGTGGATATTGATCTTAAATGGGTCTGCGATACAAACACTGAGAAACCAAATATTCCACTTTACTGTAAGTTCTTTTCAATTGATATGCTTTGAACAAGTTAATGAATTTTGCTCCTTTCAGTAAATAGATGCATAGATCTGTACTTTTTATGTTATTTGATTTAGTTGCATTATGAAAGGCTGTAAGCCTAATTTATAGTTACTGTGTATGTTGGATTTTGATGAACTAAATGTAGTATTGTTGATTAATAGGTGATGAGGCGAAGCAAATAACTGCCAAAATCCACTATGGGGGAAGTTTTTAGATGACGTCAAACCTGGAGTATGTTGGTGGCAGAGTTAGTTATTCTAACTTCATAGATGAACCCAATATTATCGTGGAGTCTCTGAAGTCATATTTTGGTAGGGTGTGTAGCAACGGACCCCACGGATTGTTTTATAAGGATAGAAACAGGGTTGAACATTCTGGATTTAAGCATTTACTTGGATGTGAGGATGTTAAGGCAATGTTGGGGGATAGTACTATTCAAAAACTGTGAGAGATATATGTATACAAGATTGGCCCAGGATACATGAATCCTTTAATTGGCTAGTGTTCAAACGTCATCGAGGAACAGGGTGATTACGCTGATGATAGGGGAGATGATGTGTATGATAGTGGGGATCAGGATTCTAATGATGATTCAATGAATATTCAAGTGATTCTGATGGTGCTTCTGCCTCTGAGTCTGATTCTGGTGATTCCGAATCTGATTATGGTGGAGTTGAAAAAAGTGGGTGAAGTGGATTATGATTATGTCGATCGAGATCATGTCAACGACAGTGATTATGACGCGGACGACATGGATCTTAAGTACCGGGAAAAAGCTAATGCAGCAGTCCGTGTTCAATCGTGGTGTTTGTTTGACAAGGACCAAATTTGGATGAGGTGAAAGGTTATAATCGTGAGGCTGATTGTGGCTCATTTGAATCATTAAGGTCCTGAAATATATCAGAAGAATCATTTGCACAGGATCCAACTAGAGGTGGAAAGAATTTAAAGAAGGCAAAATGATATGTACCTGAGGATGATATGAGATATCCGTGGTTTGAGGTATGGCATGACTTTGAGGATAAGTTGCAACTTATTAGATATATCAAGCTCCATTTAGTTGCTGATAGGCCACAAATAAGCTTCAAAAAGCATGACTCCAACTATGTTAGGGCCATTTGCAAAGGCGAGGGATGCAACTGGGTACTGTATGCAGTTAGGGTGAGTTCAAATGAACTGACGTTTCAGATTTGGACTCACCAAGACAAACACACTTGTCCAAGACTAGATAAAATAGGGAACTATACTGCCCATGTGGTTACTGAGTGGTACCTTGAAGATTTAGCAATGGAGCCTACCCTCAGTGCTGACTACACTAAATATAGGGTTAAGAAGGATCATAGATTGAAGATCTCAAGAACCCAGGTGTGGAGAGCTAAGAGGAAGGCACTTGAAATAAATGACGGAACTATTATGAAGAATTATGCATTTTTTGAATCGTATTTGGCTAAAGTAGAAAAGACAAACCCAGGTAGCAAAATCAAGCTTATGACTAGGAAAGACGATCCCCGTAGGTTCTAGAGACTGTACATGTGTTTAGCAACCTCTAAAAAGGGTTTCAAAGAAGGATGTAGGAAAATGATTGGTGTAGATGGGACCTTCTTGAAGACTCCAACTGGGGGCCAGCTCTTTGCGGCTGTGGGATACGACGCTAATAACCAGATATATCCTGTTGCATTTGCTATTGTTAAGATAGAGAATGAAGATTCATGGAAGTGGTTTTTGAAATACCTCATTGATGACTTAGGAATAACTAATACACCTGAATGGGTCATCGTATCAGACCGACAAAAGGTACGAGAGTAAATTTTAAATTTGTGTTTAATAACAGGCATATCCATCGAGAATGTAAATCAGTGTAAAGCAATTGTATTCATGATACCGAAATTTTGTGTGGATGTTAAGGCTTTGACATGAATTATTTTTTCAGAGTCTTCTTCCAACTGTTGCTACATTTCTGAAAATTGTGTCCAACAAATACTGTGTGGAGCACTTATGGAATAATTTCAAGCTAAAGTACCACGGATTGAAATTGAAAGCTAGATTGACGAGAATTGCGAAAGCAACAACTGAAGTGGAATGGAACAAACTAATGGATGATATGAAGAAGATGCATGAAGGAGCATGAAGGTATCTTCATGAAATAGGAGCAAGTCATTGGTGTAGGTCATATGTCTTGACAGAGACAGAGTGGGACATGTTGGTGAACGACATATGTGAAGGCTTCAATAGTGTTTTAGTAAAAGCCTGCAAACTACCAATCCTTGGGTTGTTGGAGTGGTTGAGGTGATACTTATGGTTAAGTATAGCGAGACTAGGGAACGGATTGAAAAGTCACCATTTGAACTTGGCGACAAAATCAGGGCCCATATACCGGAATCCCGGGAAGAATCTAATTGTTATGTTGCAGACTATTGTGGTGATGGTGAGTATGAGGTCAGGGAGGTAAATGAACAGGTTGTTGTGTGCCTTAGACCTTGAGATCTGAGTTGTGCTTGCCGGAAGTGGGATTTGTCTGGTATTCCATGCCCATATCCGGTAAGGTGAATTGTTGATGACGGGAGAAAGGTGGAAGATTATGTTGACAGATGGAACTCAAAGGAAATGTACCTGAGAGCATATGCAAATATTATCGGGGGGGATGAATGGTCCTAGTTTTTGGAAGCGAATATCAGACCCAACCCTATTGCCTCCAGAGTTTAGACCCATGCCAGGAAGAATGAAGGGTAGCAGGAACAAGCAACATGATGAACCCTACCTAGTATACAAGAACCAAAAAGGTTGGTATAAGGCCTTTAGAAAGGTGGGCCCGGGATGCAATAAGTGCTGTAGTTGTTTTTACCGAACTTGGTTCCAAATTTAACATGTGTTGTGTGTTTATGTACCATTATTTGTAATCATAATTGAATGTTTGGATTGTTACACAAAATGATGGCAAGGAGAGTGAGAGGCCCTTAGTTGGGCAGAGGTGAGCAGTGCCCAAACAGCGGGGCAGACCGCGCAAACGGGTTGTAGTTGAACATTTGGCTGATGATGTAAGCTTTTCTACTTGTATATGTTCTTCAAAGGTTATGAGTTCTCGATTGTGTAGGTTTGGATGGCTTGATAATTGATAGAAGGTTAAGCAAAAGGAAAGAGTCAGGAAAGCACTCCTGAACAGTCAATGTGAATACTGCAAACGCAGGGGGCACAAAGCAAAGTCTTGCCCAGCAATAGGAAGGAGATTACAAAAGAGGAAGGAAGTAGCCAAGAAAGACAAGGTAACCTTTCGTATAGATTAAGCTTTTGGCAAAATGGTACTAAAATGAAACCTCCATATTTCGGTTTAACTTTAACTTGATGTAATACAAAACATGCATATTCTACGAATTTAATACTTTGATTCTTATGTGTAAACCTTAAGTGCATTGTGATTGCAGAGAAGAATATCTTTATTCACATTCTTGTTTGCGGACTTTGTTGTTGTTGTTTTATACTTTTAAACAAACTCGTGATGTCTTGTCCCCCATCATTATGGGACTAGGGTAAGGGTCAGCAACAAATTCAAAAGGGTCCTAAGCAGAAGCGGAATAAGAATCGTAAAGGACATTTCCGGCTTCGTGATACAGATGAAAATGATACTGGTATCCCAGTGTCCAAAACTAAGCGGAAAGAAAAAAATCAGCTTCTTGATGGAGATGAAAATGATCCCACGGTCCTGGTGTCCAGAAGTAAGGGGAAAGGAAAGTTTCAACTTTGTGATGAAGATGAAAATTATCCTAGTATCTTGGTGTCCAAAATTAAGCGGAAAGGAAAAAATCAGTTTCAAGATGGAGATGGAAAAGATCCTGCTATCTCGGTGTCTAGAACTAAGCGGAAAGGGAAAAATCAGCTTCTTGATGGAGATGAAAATGATCTGGTTGTCCTGGTATCCAAAAGTAAGAGGGAAGGAAAGTTACAGCTTTGTGATGAAGATGAAAATGATCCTGCTACCCCGGTGTCCAGTACTAAGCAGAAAGAAATACAGATTCTTGTTGAGTATGATGACGAAGATTTTCTTGTTATTCGGGTGTCCAGAACAAGGCAGAAAGGAAAATTTCAGATTCTTGATGAATATGAAGGTGATGATGTTCTAGTGACCACTACGGTGGATGGAAAGGCTGAAAACGTTGTTGCAAAAGCAAAAGCTTTGCCATGTGAATATTGTAATGCCCAGTCATCGGACCGCTCAATGCCCTCAAGAAGAGTTGACACGTTAGTTAGAAAAAGAAACTTCACACGAAGAGCATGATGATGCAGCACACAGTACTCTTGAACCATGTGCAGACTACTCGGGGAATTCAGACAAGGATGAAAGGAAAGATCATAACGAGGAATCATCGAAGGTCATTATTGCACCTAATGAGCCAGCGGTAGAGACACTCAACTTAGTTCCTGATGATTACGAACAATATTCTCTTTGGGGGGAGTGTTCGGCATCTGGATGGATTTATGAATACAGTTATGGGTAGTTTAAACATGGAGAGTGGGAGAAGTGCACTCGGTTAAGCATGAAATGTTCATTTTGCGATTGTTCTGGACACCTCCTACATGATTGTGTAGAAGCACAGGGAATGTGATTGGCATCAGTTGTTGAAAAAATTAATAGATAAACAAAAACTACAAAATTGGTTCTTTTCTCATGTTGACAGAAGGGAACAGAAAATAATGGTCAACCTGAGGACGCAGGAAACTCCGTCATTGCACCAATGGTAGAGTCACAACCCCATGAAGTCCCCAACAAAGCATCGCCCGCCATGGAAATGGTATGCCTGTTGTATCATTTACGATTGACCATGTTCAGTTTCTTGATAATGGTTAAACAATTATTAGCACGATTGTAATTCATCTTGTTGTAGGTGTCAAAGCTGCCCCCTACTCGAAAGAAAATGGGCCGATGTAGCAAGGTCAATGAAGAGAATCTAGGTCCTACTACCCCCAGTCCGAGGAGATTTAGCCACAGACTTAGGGGAAGGTTGTTGGGCCCACAAACTCCCCTGGGGTGCCCAGGAAGCTCGACAAATTTTCCAATTGATATTGGTCAAGAGGAGGAAGATCTGGCACGAAATGACCAATCCTAGGCTTTTGATTTCATTGTTTTGTAGGGTTTAGAAGTTAGCATTTTTGCAAGGGATTGGTGTAATCCTGCGCTAATTTGGGATGTGATGGTAATAGAGAAGTAGATGACATCAGATCAAGGGGAGAGAATTTGGGACAAAACTTGGAGAACAACCCTGACAATAGCTTCAAACTGGGTGTTGGTCGGTCACGCAAGGCCAGATGTCGAATGGTGAGTCTTGTGTTTGTTTTTGTTTATGTAACGATCATAGTTTTGAGTTGTGATACAATATATATAATCCACGAATGGTGAGTGCAGAATATTCCTATCAAATTTGTTGGCTCCACGCTCTTGAGGCAAAAGAAGCTGCCAGGGTTGGAGGTCCAGTGGAAGCACCAGAATTCTGGATAACAACTAAATCGGATAACCGTGGTTCTATAGTTCATAAGGAATTATCTGGGAACTGGAAGAAGTTGTTTGAAGACAACCTGATCCAAGAGAACATATGCCTGTGCAATTAACTCTTGACATAGCATCTGATATGCCAAATAGTAAGATGGTTGTATTCCGAATGGCCAAACTCTAAAGTGGAAGAGACATTGGAACGTTGCTTTTGCTTTCTTCAGCAGCTTGTAGCAATATGCATGGGATGATTGTACTGTTTCGCACATGATGGCTGTAATTTAAACATTGATTTTGCTTTCTTCAGCAGCATCTTGCAATATGGTTGGGATGATTGTAAATAATATTTCTTACTTCCAGGGAGTATTTAATTTTTTATTTAGTTATGTGGACAACCAGTTACTAGCTATTTATTTGACGTGTGATTTAAAATATGACTAGAGATGTTGTTTGGATGGAGGGGGTTTTCATTTTTTTCAAGAAGGGAAACAAAATGATAATGGAATTTAAATCTACAAATATGAGAAGGCAATAATTTCTTCCAAATGAGAGGTCATATAGCCAAAGTGGTGTACATTAGTCCCCCAAATCCCAACAGGCCAATATGAAAGGTGCAGTTATTTTTTCATAGTTTTATTTTCTTTTTCTTTTTAAAAGTGGAAAGGTACATTTCATTTGTCCTTCCGCTTCATCTCCCACCACACAATAAATTGGATGATATAATACAAAGGGACCTTATTTGCCTTTGTGCCATTGTTTGTCGATTTTGGTCAACCTTTTGGGATGAATCTCCAACTATCCTTTCCCAAATCTGGCCCAAAATTAAAACTATAATAAGGTACTTGAAAAAACACCTTTCTTATCCTTCTCACATTTGTTTCTATGCATTTTTTACCGTAGATCTGGGTCAATTCTGTTCTCTTGTTGTAGTAAGACGCTGTGGTCCCAATAATTACTATGCATTCGAATATTCCATTAATTATTGGCCACGTTAGTGTTAAGCATTTGAAAAATGTTTGTCAATTTAAGAGAAGTAAGAGATCTAGTGGTGCACTTTTTGATGGAATGAAAAGATCTACATTTATTGTGCCATACTTAGCAGTTGCTCGGTTCATATTAATTTAGTAATGTTTATCAGTCTTGTGATTCACTGGAATGGTGACTTTATTTCTTAGTTTTGTAGAACAAACTATTTTTTTAACCACAGTTGTCTTATTATTATTAGTTATATGGAATGTAGATTATTGCCAAATATGAAGAAGGTCAGGATTATAGATTGTACTGTAACTGTCAGGAATGTAGATGAAATCTAAAATGACCTCATTAGGTTTTGGACCAAATGTCACTGTCAGCCAAATAGTCAACGAGAAAGGGACCATCATGTCTTTTTTCATATAGATCAGGCAATTTTTAAAAGGAAGAAAGGGACCTTTTTGTTTGTTTTAGACTTTTTTTTGGGGGTTGAGTACTTAAACAAATATTTTCTATTTAAATGTCAAAGAGATCACACTCCAGCTTTGAAGATGATAGTGATTTTAGCGAGTCAAAACTTGATGAATGGACAAATAGTTTGTATAATTGTTTGAGAAATAGAGGTCAAGAAGTTCGAGTATGTAGGAACAAATTTACTTGCCCTTTTTGTAAAGGTAAAAAAAGAGCAAGTTTGAATACATTGACCTTCTACAACATGCAAATGGGGCGGGTCATTTGGGAAAAATTCTATGCAAAAGCGAATGAATCATCTTGCATTGGCGAGATATTTACAAGATGATCTCGCACCCTCCCTCCCGCTGAAATACCACTACCGGCAGTTCATCATGCAGAAGTAGTGGTGGATCCCCTTCAATATTACAATGCACAGGACTACTTTGTTTACCCTCCTATGGCAACTATTGTTAACCTAGCTAGAAAACTAGATTGTGAGATGTTTGTTGGACCGAGTGGCATGGCTTTGCGTGAAAAGTATTTAGGCAATGGTTTTAATCCAACAAAAGTGGAGCCATTGTGGGATGATGAAACTGGCCACTCAAGAATAGGTATTGTTCATTTTAGAAGTGGTTTTGATGGATTAACAGATGCTCTTGCATTTCATCGGGCCTATAAGAATGATCATCATGCAAAACAGGATTGGGAAGGGTCTGTTACTCACAATGATTTCCTATATGTCTTGGTTGCTCAAGAAGATGATTACGCATCCTCTGGAATTGTTAGGAGGAAACTTCGTAGGTATGCAACCATCAAAAGTTTGGATGAAATCCAAGATCTCTTGGACATCTCCTGTGCCACTCTTTGTTGACTCATGTAATTTTATTTTTTTTAAATCCTGGGAAGGCATGTAATGTTGATGAGCTTTGGTTTTGGTTAATTTTGTTTTTGAACAATGTGTTATGTACCTTATGTATTTGAATGTTTTGGATTTTAAAACCGTGTTGTGTTCTTGAATTGTTGTCTTCTTGAAATGTTGTGGTTTTTAGTACTTTGGTTTTGAAGCAATTGCTGAAACGATGTCGTTTTGTTATACACCATTTAAAAAGTGCGTTCTAAGCGGAATCAGGATTTTTGAAAACGGTGTGAAAGTTCTTTTATTAAATGGAAGTTGCATAAGGGTCTTTAAAACATCAATTTGGAAAACATTAAATAAGGGCGAAAGTGGGTTTGACTTAAATTAGCCTTGGATTTAAAGAAAAACACCCCTGGATTTATCATTAGCCTAATTGAAAAGACATGGGACATAGTCAAAAGTACTACAATACAACCACAATGCCCAACTGAAGACATGGGACATAATCAAAAGTACTACAACACAACCATAATGCCCAATTAAATACATGGGACACAATCAAAATACTACAATACAACCATAATGTCCAATTAATGATGGGAACCATTCAAAAAAATTATAAATCCTTAGAGTTATACATGGTTGATTTACAAGATGTGGAAGAAAAGCCAGTTAGTCCTTTGACCCATTCCAGTGCTCATAAATCACCCATGCCAATGTCCATCTGTTGCACCAACTGTTTCCAAGCTTTGCCAGAAATCTTTCCAAGATTCCCTTCAACATCCGGCACAAGACTCCATTTCTTTTCAGATTGAGAATCTTCTATCACAATTTCGGTCTTTCCTTCCTCCCCAGCAAGGTGAGTTTTGACAAACGCAGCTGGTATATGCTGTAAAAATCCAACAACAATTCTCACAAATAAGGGAACCATGTAATAGTATAAATATGAAACCATGACAAAACAAAAGTTAAAAAAGGAATAAATTTCTTTTACTAACCAACTGAAATGGTCAATTGAGTATGCTCTTCTTGACTATAAACTGGAACCATGGAAAAACAGTATCCTCTTCTTCAGACCTTGGTCTGAAAACAACATTCGTAATTAGACCTTCTCAACCATTGTTAAAGGGGAACTACAACAAAATCATCAAGCTGTAATATTTTTAAATTTGTAATCACGAAAAAAAACACACAAAATTGATTAATCATATGACCTTTATCTTTATCTTGGCGCCGGCCATTACATTTACCACTGAAGTCTACTTCTGTAGCAGTATCATCAACTATACCAACCCACAACTTGGCATTGTCCTTCGTCGTAAACACAAGCATATACTTTATACCAATTCCTCTCTCTTGTTCAAATTTCTTCAAATCTTTGCCCATTAATTTAGTTCCCTTGTCTATATGGTGTAAGGTAACCTTCCATTTACCACCGCAAAAGTCTTTCAAAGTAACCACCTCACCAAGTTTATGCCCATGTTTATACATAAAAGCTTATGGAATCCGCTGATGTACGTAAAAATAGGTTTAATATAACTATATGGATTTGTAAAAAAATTGGGAAAAACTTGGAACCAATAAATTAACACTTATAATTCCTTCTGAAACAGGCCAATCAATTATTTTATAGAACTTGGCGGTGGATTTTTCATATCCTATTCCACTGGCTTTAGATTTTCACTCCCCAAATCTTTTCATAGTCCAGTTTGTAACAATCTGGTAAAGATAAAAGCAGATTATTTAATCACTAAATACTCTATATTTTACAATACAAGGAAATTATCATTTTCCCGAGTCAGAAATTTGGCAAAAATGATTTTTAAAAAATGACAAAAAAAGCATACGTTAAACGACAAAAAGAATGCCCCTTTCCAAATATGCCAAAAAAGCATATTCTTCACATTAAAAGTGCTTCCCTCTGAAAATCCCTGTATCAATTCACATAGAACTACAACGAAATAGAATCTTACCCATTAGTATTACATTAAAATGATAATTTCCAGACACCCAAGTATGCCCCCAAACAAACAGAAAAAAAATAAAGATACAAATTACTGTATTCAGTAAAAAAAATTAATCAAAATAATCAGACCATAGTTATCAAATCGTGATACGTATCGTGTATCGGAAACCTAAATTTAAGATACGCATATCGTATCGTGTATCATATTGTAAGATACGTTTTAATATAATAATATATACAAAATAAATAATAAATGTAATAACTCCATATGTAATTAATATATTTATAACTTTTTTTATTTTTCAGTTATAAACAAATAAATTGATTAAGTTGAATTCAAGATTATCATAAAAAACTACACAAATTACTCATACATTGTATATGAATATTGGTCATAGAACCTATGTAATAAATATTAATTTTTAAAGTAGATGTTATTATAGCCATAAATTTGATAGGGAGAAAATTAAATTAAACTTGTATTACATTTATTCAACATGTTATTAGTTATAAATGATTTAGAAAATGATACTATATTAAAATTTTTATTTTAATTATTTTATTTTTTAAACTAAAATAATTTATTAAGCAACTTTATTGTCAATTCAAAAAGATTATACTTGTTAAAGTAATAAATCAAAAGTATCTATTTAAAAGAAATTGTAATTGAAATTTTCTCATAATTTAAAATTTAAATGGTTATTATCAAACAAAAATTTGAATTCTTTAAGAAAAAAAGTTATTATTTACCTATGTTTTTCTATCGTACGATACACAATCGTATCGTGTATCGTATGTATCGTACGATACGTATCGGAAATTGGCCGATACACAAACGATTGTGATACATATCATGATACGTGTCGAAATCCTTAATTTTGATACGTATCGTGCGATACGTATTGTACGATACTTACTACTATGAATCAGACCTTTCAAAACCAGAATTCTTGCCACTTCCAGAAAGCCGTTTTAAATTCCCAGCAAATCCAAGAAGGGTAGTATACTTCTGATGTTGGAGAAGATGTGGAACCACAGTTGCTTGAGACTTGGCTATAAACTCACATATAGGCAATAATGTATAGTGCTTCTAAACAATGCATGTACCCCCTATTAGCTATATATCTTTTTTTTTTTGTGAGCTAAGGTGGCATTTATTTATTGGACCTCTCATTTCCTTTGTTGCCTTCATCTATTATCGATTTACCGTTTTCCCAAATCCACTTTTTGAACTCCCCACTGATTCAATATATCTATTCACTCTTTAACATAGACAAATACATTTCTACATTGTTATTATATTACTGACAAATTTAAAACCTTGAACTCGAACAATTTAGGAAGAAAAAATTTTGAAGTGACATTATTCTGTAAAAGACGCTTGGTAAAAAGAATTAAAATGTTGTAATGCAAAAAAATTAAAATATGTATATATGTATATATATTTTCTCTTCATAATCAACTGAAATGCCTATACTTTAACCCATTAATTCCTTTCATAGATACAACCAAATTTTGTGCACTGACCTTGGTACATGATTTAATCCACAAACTGAAGGGTTGAAGAAAATAAAGTATCCAGAATGGGGTTGTCGGTTGTGGAATATGGACAACCTTGCTCTTTCGATAGAGTTTGATATGACAATCATGTCAATTTGACAGCACAACATCTCATAAACCAAGAAAGTATTCAATATTTGAATACTGGTAGATTAGGGTATAGATTAGGTAGTGAAATGAATATGCTGAAGGCATCCACCATTCTTTTCTTCTACCGCCGCCGGATCACCACCACCACCCAACTACGCCGCCGAGATACCGTCGGCCATCGACCGACCGGCATGATTTTGTCCAACTCCCGGCGATTTAGTTGAAATTTACCCGGTAGCTGGCCGGCGGTATCAGTCATGGTTCTGCGGCGTAGCAATGTAGTCTGGCGGTGGTTGTGGGTGGTAGAGGTGACCAGGTGGTGGTTGATTAAAATGAGACAAAGTGTACTATGGCACCCTTCAAATTATATTATGGCACCCTTATGTTATATTTTAATCTCAACCCCTAAAGGAATTCCAATTCTTTCAGTTATACCCTTACGAAAATATGTTTCATTTTGAATGGCACCCTTCTATGTTAATATTTTCAATCTCAACTCCTATAAGAATTCCAATAGTTACAGTTACATCCTTGAACCAAACACTAATGTGGTTTTCACTTGAACCCAACACTAATATAACTAATTTCTTACAATTAATACATAACCTTATCAAAATTAGTGTTAAACACGTAACAATGTTATAGCTACCACAACACTAATAGAGATGAATTGTAATAGCTAACAATGCTAAGATACTCCATAACGTTACTAACACTATGACAAATGATATGTGTATGGTAATATTATATGTAATGTGTAATAGTGTTAACAATAATATGTACATTTATAATGATTTAGTAATCATAATACTAAGTTTCTTTGTCAATGTGCTAATCGACTGTACTTATTATGAAATTATTAAGATATTTAGTTATTAATACGAGGTAAAACACTTAATAAATTAATTTTGTTAAATGATACTTTTATTGATAAAGTAATTAACCCTTTTTGTTTTTTTGGCAAAAGAAAGGATTGAACGGCATTCAGGTCCCAATTAACACAGAAAATACTCACGGGGTCTACCCAAGAGCTATTCCCTGCATTAATCACTGCTAGGTGATACTACGCACCCAAAGGGTATACCCAATGGATGGACATTAATACCACCTAGTTCCCTAGCACCTCTTCTCCCATGTATTATTGAAATTATAATCAAAAGTTGGCAGTGGTTCAGACTTACCAAAATACTCCAGCAAAAACAGCAAAAAAAAAAAAATCTCTATCTATTGCATAGAAAGTCTAATACCTCACTCGCACATATGGTATAGACTGTTGATCTAAAAGAATAAGGTCTTTGGTAATACTAGGAAGATCACCAAAACCTTCATATTGCTCAGAAAATTCAGATGAAGCCCTCTTAGCTAAGCTATCCGCAACCGTATTAGCTTCTCTGAATATATATGGTGTATAGTATATTTCCTTCTCTCCATGATAGCAGGAATCTCCTCCAATTCCTTGCAAAAACTCCAAGGATAGGGACCCCCACAAGATAGTAGATTGGCCAAAACTTGGTTATCCGTTTAGATTTCTAAGAGAGATAATTCAAGATACTCGCACTTTCGAACCCCAAATAAAAGACCATATACCTCCGCTTGAAAGCAATCACCTTCGTTTAGAAAGCCAGATTCCCCAGAATGAAAAATACCATTCCTTCCATTAATTAAAAAACCATACCCCAAAGAGAGTTTTTGAAGAACCATCAGTATTGAGAACAATGTGTTCTCGTTGTCTCCAAGCAACCGCAGCAACCTTCATTCTTTTCACTCTGAACTTTGCCTTTGGAAATCTCTCTTGAAGAAAAACTCATTCCTCATTACTCCGAGTGGGAAGAACATTTACAAGCAGCATATTATGCAAATGTTCCCTCAGCAGTAATAATAAAGTGCTCACTTGAAACAATTCCTTCAAAAAGGAACTTGTTGCGTGCTTTCCATGTCTCCCATATAATAAATGATGGTAAGACCTTCTTGAGGATTCCAATGGCTGTCTTACAGATCCCCAAAGACCACCATGAAGTTAATGCCATTTCAAATCCTCCCCCTTGAATAAAAGGAAACCCAAAGAAGTCTAAAAAGTGATTTAAAACCCGACGGACAGATTGGCAAGTCAAGAAATTATGTACCATTGTATCCGGTCCCAACTTACACTTGTAGCATATAGAAGGTTGCAAAACAAATCCCATTTTACATAAGATCTCTGGAAATGAAAGAAGAGAGTTCTAAAACTTCCACATGAAAAAAGATATCCTTGAAGGAACATGTTTTTGCCAAATGTTCCGCAAAATAAGGGTTTATGGGCTGTTTCCTCCTTATGACGTCATATGCCGATTTAATAGTGAAAATCCCCAATGCCTTTGGCTGCCAAATCAACTTGTCTTCTCCATAAAAAAATTGAATTTTCATAGCTTCCAACTCCTGCAATACAATTGATGATAATCTTGGTCGGAACTTGTTGAGATAGAATTGCTTTCTCAAAAAGAAATTCCTAATTGTTGTCAAATGCATTGGTGGGAGGACATTTTGAATATCCCAAATACGACCCAAATTTGACCAGTTATCATACCAAAAGCTCCTATTTCCACTTCTCACCAGCACCTTAGAGTGATTTGTTGCCATAATGTCAACTTTTACAAAGCGGCTCCAAGATGATTTCCTTCTTGCAGAAAGTGACATTGAGAGAATGAACCTCGCCCATATTCCTTCTATATGCTTCATTTTCCACCAAATTTTGAAGGAAAAATCCTTCAAAACATCATGGAAATCTCAAAGCCCTACTCCGTTTTTCACAACAGGGAAAGTGAGACGATTCCATGACCGCCAATGTCGCTTCCCATCCCCTTCTACTCCCTAGAGAAACTTTTGGCATCTTTCAGTTAAAGCATTTATAATAGACTTTGGTGGCTCAATATCAGCAAAAACATGAAGTCGAATGGCAGACAAAACATGCTTGATTAGCACAAGATGCCCACCTTGGATAAGAAACTTATTTTTCCAGTAAGACAACCGTTTGTCAATCGCATCAAGAATGAACTGAAAGGTGGCATCCTTCTTCCGCCCTTGATAAAACCTGCAACCGAGATAAACAAAGGGGAAGGAGGAAGGAGCCTTTTTGCATACCCAATCATCTTTTAATACTTTCTAACCGAGAAGGAGGACATTTTACATCAACATAGAAGCTACTCTTCTATCTATTTATTTTTTTTGCCCAGGCGCTGCTTCATATTCATCAAACAAAATATTCAACTTGTCCATAGATGACTTAAGCCCACGAGTGAAGACAATGAGATTATCTGCAAAACATAGATGAGAAACATAATTAGATTCAGCGGGAGTACCAAAATGAGCTACCACCCTATTTGCCATCAAAAAGTTCAACCTGCCTGACATTGTTTCATAAACAAGTATAAACAAAAAAGGCAATAATGGGTCACCTTGTTTGATCCCCCTGCTTGCTTTGAAGAAACCTGTTGGATTACAATTCACAAAATCGAAAACCAACTATCTTGGAGATTATTCAAAATCAAAGTAATGAATTGATAAGGAAAGCCAAACCTTTGCAGCACCAACCTTAGAAAGCTCCATGAGACACGATCAAAAGCTTTCATCATATCAATTTTCCGAATGAGATTATTCCTTTGACTTTATGATTGAGGAATTAACACAAATCTTGGGTATGGTATTATCATTGATGTCTCGTCCAGAAAAAAACTCTGAATGTTCCTCCGAAAAGTTTAGGCAAGACCCTCTTCAACCTCTCAGTAATGATCTTCGTAGATTCCTCAACTCTACCTCTGCCACACCATAACCAATATCTTGACGCCAAACCTCACTAATAAATTTCTCAAACTCCGAATGTGTAAGCCAACAGGCCTGAAATCGAAATGGCCTTTCCTAAGGTGGATGTGTCATATGCTAGTGTAAACTCAACTGAATAGGATGGTGATCAGATTTGATTCTGCTTAAGTGACTGACCGAGATTAACTTTAATCTCCATTCTAGATTGCATAGTGATGAGAATCATGTAGCCTTCCATGGAGGTTCTCCTAGTGAGGGGAATGAGTTAGTCCTTCATTCTAGTTTTGGAATGCCAAGTTTACTTTGCAGGCCAATCAAGGAAGAAAGGATGGATCTTGACTACCTATGTGATAGGGAGTTGGTTCAAAAGAGCTATGATCAAGGTGATGAGAATGTCATTAACTTTGGGGTTCAAACCAAAGGAAAAGACCTCATGGAAATAAGTGCTGAAGAGTATCAAGAGAGTTTGACTCTGTGTGCTCCATGAAGATCATTGATCAAGCTAGTGAGAAGAGTCATTTAGGTTCATGAGTGGACGACCTATTTGATCAAAGTGTTCAAGATTGAGTCCATTGCTACACAATTGGATAGGTTGCAAACTATCTTAATTGTTTCAAGTGTTTTTCCAATCTTTTGGAATCAATAAAGAGAATTCTACAAGTTTTGGAGTAAATTGGAGTTTTCTACAACTTAAGGGGCGCAAGACCAATATTCCACTTTTGGAAGGGCGTTCAAGACATTTTACTTCAACAATTTGGAGCTGAATTTTGTGTTTAGAGTTAGTCTAAGTCTAGGAGTCAATTTTTGAATTTTTATCTAGTTAAATAAGTCATGTGGACTGAATTAAGCTAGAGTGTTTTGATTAGGAGTCTTAGATTCCTTCTAGATATTATTCTACTTGAGGATAAGTCATTTAGATAAGGTTTCCTAGATTTTAGATAGAGTCAAAGAGATCAAGTACTCTTCTACTTTTACTCCTTGTGAGATAAGATTAGAGAGTCCTAATTGGTCTTCGTTTTAGTAGTGCTGACCGAAAATTCAAGCCTATATATAGGAGGCTTGGCCGAATTTCTTAAGCACCCTTGAGTGGTCATTTTTGTTGTCTCTTTTGAGAGTTTTTCCTGTGAGGAATTTTTGTTAAATGGAGTGTCCATTTTTCGTGTCAAGTATGATTAAACCAAGAGGGTTTTCATCTTGTCTTGGATCTTTTTGATCTTGCAGAAACCGTTTTTTTTAAAGTATGCTTCTTCATAGAATTGTTTTAAAACTAAACTTCTTATTTTCATACTACTTCTAGTAGTTTGATTGATGAGCCTTTCCTTTGGCTTGGTGTTCGAATTTCATGATGAGTGTATTCATGAGATCCATTGTGGGGTTTGTCCTACTTTTGTTGGATGAGTTGTGCTTTGGCATAAGCATTTTGAGATAGTGTATGTGTTGCATATCTTTGGTTGGTTATGAAGATTACTAATCAATAGTATTCCTTCATAGTTGGGCATTGTTTGCTCCTACCTTTCTTGAGTCTCTTGATAGATGACTGATCGAGTATATTGAATGGTGTCCTTGCTATTCTTAGCGTGAGTTGTTGTTTAATTCGAATCTTTCATGGATAATGTGTTCTTTGCTTGATTTGAGTTAAGAGATAGAATCACTTAGATAAACGATCGTCTTACTGTGAATTTTCCGCACTCTTTTGAGTTTCACGGGATAGACAAAATTATCTTCGTACCTTCTTGTTGATGGTTGCATTAACGAAATTTGCTTCGTCTACGAGATTGCTATCACATAGTGCCCTATCCAACCTCTCCTGCAGTTTTTTATTCCTTCCTTTTTTCCAGGTGAATTTTAGACTTGTAAATCCCATATCCTCTAATCCATTTTGATGCAGAAACTCATTAAGCTCCGGGCATTTTGAACAATTGACTGGTGCCCTCCTGATTTCTCGTCTGCACTCAAGTCGACATTAAGATCCCCTTTCACTACGCATGCCTCATAAATTAGACTCTTTATGGTCAAGAGGTCCTTCCATAGGCCCTTCCTAATCTGTGGTTCCAGAGAAGCATACACAGTAGTTCATAGTCCCTTATCGGCCCCCTGTTGCCACCCAAAATGTACGTACTATCTAGCTGAATGCAGTATATTGATTTTTATGCAACTTTCATTCCAGAGCAGCCAAACACCTCCAGCAAAACCAACAGCTTCCTCCATAAACCAGTTACCAAACCCTACCTTCCTAATTGCCCTGGTAGCATCATCCCCGCTTATGCGCGGTTCCTGAATAACCAACAAATCTTGTTTATATCTGTTCACTATATGTTTGACAGCAGATTTGATTTTTGGTGAACCTGCCCCATGCACAATTCAAGTAATAATATTCTTAATAAGAGATAAAGATTAGGTGAAAAAACTTCATACCTAGCTCCCTTGTAAGGAAGCCAAAGCATTCGAATCCTGCATAATCGTATCCGGTGGATTTTCCATGCCTTTTATTTCAGCTCGATCCGGCAGCTTGGCTGGCTGAAGCATCAACCCTGCTGCCTCCATCAATTTAGGTTGAACCTCCATAGGTTGAATTGGTAGTGGGTCAGGTGGATCAGATTGACCCTGCTCCCTTATTGCTCCTGTGAAAGAGCAATCCAGATTTGGTGAAGGTGTCCTCAGAATCGGAGTTAACCACCCCCTCTTCTTTTACCCTTCAACTGGTATTGAATAATCTGAATCCCACCCCAATAAAGGATAATCGTTCCTATCCTTATTTTGAACTAATTGCATCTTCTCCTCGCCTCTTCCACTTGCCTTTGAAATTCTTCCTTTCGACTTTCCTGTGTTGTTACTTTTCCCAAATTCAGCTCCCATGGTGTATCCCTCTATTGCCTCATTATTTTTCATATTAAGCTTCTCAAACTCCATCAAATCACAGTAGCCGTTTGGGTTAGGTAGTTCCTTTGAGTTTCTAGGGGTTGATGGGCGAACCATGTTCCCTTGGGCTTCGTTGGTGTCACTTGTGTTTCTCTTTTGGGCCTTCTCAATCTTGCGTTGTTTAGACTTGGGCTTCTTTCTCTCTTGGGCTTGAGAAGGCAAAATTCTAATTAACCCGTTGGGTAGGAGCCGTTGCATTTCATAGGGCCCCACTGTCAAGGTCCGTTACTAGGACATCGAACCACAAGCCCATCTGCCCCCTTGTTTCCCCTATGAGAGATGCATATCGACTGCCTGATTTTGTTGTCAGAAAGCTCTGTTTTGTCTTCGATGGACCACCATCCATGGATCAAGACCCACTCGGCCTATTCCTCCTCCCCTAAGACACCCTTAAGTGGTGTCGGAACTGGGATCTCCGAATTCTGCTTCTCCTCACCTTGGTCCGCAGCTACCACCGGATTTGTTCTCGGAGACAGGTTCCTCGGCTCTAGTTGACACAGATCGCTCCCATGACCCACGCAGCCACAGTTGTAGCAAATCACCAGAAGACCTTCATACTCTACCCCTTGCCACCTATCTTCAATCTTGAAAATAGGGGATAATGGTTCATTCAAGTTCAATTCCACTGCAGCCCTAGCGAATTTCCCCCTATTGGCATTCAAATTTTTCTCATCGATTTTCAATGTCCGGCCAACAAAATTGCCAATTGAAAATAACACGATTTCGTAAAAGTATTCAATGGGAAGGCTTAGACGGATCCAGGTCACCATCATGTTGACGGTGACCATCGAGCCCCTGAATCCGGGTATCCATCTTTGAACAGCCAAGCAGCAAGGTCTGACAAACCAGGGTCCACCGTAAAGCACCTTTTTTTTTCTCTTCTAAAATGGGGAGAAGAACCCCAAAGAAACCATTCGTAAAGTCCAGATTTTCAATGTCCCAATTTGGATACCACATCCTCCGGACAGCATTGCTTAGTCCCCGATAAGTAAGTGTCCACCAACCAAAGACACCACTACTATATGCTCCCAATCCTCCCGGAAGAGAACTTAAGTTTTCCCCCCATTGAAACCTTTTCCATGATTACATCTCCCGGTTTGATCTGAACCTTTGAAGATGCTCTCCTTCTTCTAATACCAAGTAATCTTTCCGTGAACGACGTATTTTGGGACGGATTACCAGTTCCCCTTGGCACCCCTTCCCCAATTGAAGAATCAGTATTGTCTTTCATAAGTTGATCGGTCTTGTAGGGGCTGCCCTCGACAGGGACGCTCGCCATTTGCTCTGAGGTTTTGTCAGTTAGAGAGAATTTCTAGTGTGAGAAATTTCTAGGTACACCTTACTATAATTTAGGGCATCCACAGTAATCTTTTATTTGCTGTGTAATGTTATGGCAAAAAAAAAAAAAACTAGTAGACCATTGGAACTTGGTTAATGTTGTTAGGAGTTCTAAATATTTCAAGTGGTATAATTCTGACATAGAGGTGGGTAACATGGTGCCCCTCTTATGGGCAGCCGCTGGCCAGCCTCATTTCTTTCTTTTTTTTCAGTGGGGCCCACAAATGGTCAGCCGCCATACCTTATTGTTTTCTTTCTTCCTTATTTCGTGTCCTTTTTTGTGTATTTTCTGTCTTGTTTATTTTTTTTTAAGAAAAATACCGCTCCCAAACAGCAAAACCCTTTTCATGTCTTTATTTTTAGATTTTCACTATCTCTATAAACATTTGTACTGAAATTTCTTTACCATTATTTTTAAAATCAATTAATGTACTTTATGAATATATTGTTTTCTCAATGATTATTAAGCTTTTTATATTCTTATGTCATTTATTTATGTTTTTATTTTTTTGAAAAAATATTAAAATTCTGTAATGTACTTTAAAAGTCATATATAAATAATTTTATTATTATTTGTATATAAAAATGTAATATATGAAAAATAAATGTAATTATCATTAAAAGTAAATGTAATTATTTTCATAAATAGCAAAGTATTAATAGTAGGATAGATGTAGGGTAATAATAGTGGGATAGTTGTGGGCCAAAAATTATAAGAGTAGTGAGTGTAATATTGTTGTAGGAAAAAGTGTGCAAAATGAGAATATAGTGTAATACTGACGTGGCAGTGTAATGTTGTATTGAATTATATAAGTTGTTGGAGATGCTCTTAGGTTCACATAATTTATAGCAGATTTGTGGATTAATCTTTTTTCTTCTGATTGTAAAAATAAAATCGTAATTAAATATTTAGGGTGCTACGCATAAAGACAATAGTTCTGCACAAAGAAAAATACTATTTATTATAACTATTTATCCATTTGGGACATTACAGAAGACACTGTAAACTATTTTTTTCTTTCTGAACAAAGTTTACTAAACACAGAGTAATACTCCTATGTCTCAAAAAGATTGTCTAGCTAGAGATTTATTTTTTAATACAAATGATACTAAAAGTTAAAATTCAAACTGGATGATTATTTTGATATAGGTATTATCTTGTTATAAACCATCAAAAACAATTTTGTTTTGTTTACACGAAGGTATAGAAATATTTGTGTAACTACGTGCTCGTATTATTTGAATTTGAATGGCAATCTAGTAGGTTATTTTTGGGGGAAAAGGGGCACTAAACATTGGGATCCTATCTCGCCACTGATATATATGGTGGTCATGGAATACCTAACTAGATTGTTTGGAGAATGAATTAAAAAGGGTGGTATGTAGTTTCACCCTCAATGTAAAGAAGAGAAGATAGTAAACCTTTGCTTTGCAGATGACCTCATCATAGTCTGCAAAGCTGAGGAACTGACTACGAAATGTAATGGGGAAACTTACGAAATTTAGTTGAACAATAGGCCTGAATGCTAACCTGAAAAAATCTCAGGTGTACGTAGGAGGGGTATCGGAGGAGAGAAGAGACAGAATAGAAAGCATTGTTGGGTTTGAAAGAGGGAAGTTCCCCATGCAATATCTAGGGTTCCCAATCTCCCCCTGTGCGTGGACTCAGATTGACTGTCAAACGTTAGTGGACAAAATGACCATTAGGTTGAGAAGTTGGGCAACTTGGCATCTGTCGTATATGGGGAGGGTTCAGCTGATCAACTCAGTCTTGCTGCATATGCAAACTTATTCGGCACTAGTATATCTCATCCCAAAAAATGTATTGGAGCAAGTTGAGAGGTTATGCTGGGAGTTTCTTTGGGTAAAAATGTAGTATGGGAGATCATTCCCCCTGGTAGCTTGGCAAAAGGTGTGTCTACCGAAACGGGAAGGAGGGTTGGGTATCAGGGATGTTACGAGATGGAATGACGCAACTGTGGGTGGACAAGTGTGGGAGTTAACCAAAAAGAAAGATAACCTTTGGATTAGATAGATTCATGGTGTATATTTAAAAAGGAAAGATTTTTGGGAGGTGGAAGCTGTGAGTAACACAACCTGGCACTGGAAGAAAGTATTGATGATATTAGGGATAAACTGAGAGCCGGTTTTTAGCAGGGAAGATGGCAAGGTCAGAGAAATGGCAAGTAGTCAATACCATCTGGGCTTAAGTGGCTTAAAGGTCGAAAACCACCGCAGAAAATTGCAGCTGTGATTTGGAATTTAGTTACTGTTCCAAAACATTGCTTTATGTTGTCGTTGTGATGGCAACACATGTTGCTGACAAAGCAGAGGCTCATGCAATTGGGAATGGCTGTTGAAGATGATTCATGTTTGATGTGTAAACTGTTGAATCGCCTGAACATCTGTTTGAACAGTGTGATTATGCTAGGGAGATATGGCTGATCCTCAGGAACTGGTTCAGTTTTCCTGAACAATGGGGAGCTATTAAGCATTGGAAGAGATTGCCTTACGTCTACCCGGGGAGCCTAGTCAAGAGGAGTGTGATGTATCCTATCATTGCTGCGGGATATTATCAAATTTGGAGAGCCCGGAATCAACAACTGCATGAAGGAAGACATTGCCAAGCTGAAGAGGTGGCCGCTGAGATCAAAAGAGTAAGATGGAGAGCTCAGACCAAGTGCAGCCTGAGAAAGGTAAGGGATGTAGAGTTTTTGAGAAAACTGGAAATTTTGTAATAGTATAGCGCAGAGGTAGTAAGGCTTTTTTTTTTTGTGTTTTCCTGTTTACCTTTTGAAATAGGCTGCTGTACATATTGTGATGTGAAGTTTTGAAGATGAGCAATATAAATTTACAGTTTACCAAAAAAAAAGATATAGAAATATTTATCAAATATATAAATCGGAGTTTTTTTACCTTGATGTGTTCTCTTAGGATCAGACTAGACATAACTATTTTTTATTTGGAGAAATGTACAAAAGTATGTCTCCCGAATTTACAAAATCCAAAAGTACCTTACTTTTAGATTTCAAATCTGAATGTAAGTCACAAATCCGAAAATAAAGCAAAGTCGGGTTTATTTTCCCTTGGAACGGATAAGACTTTTAGATTTCCCGAATCCGAATTCTTAAACTTAAATGAGCTGTTGGATTTTCGAAATTTGAAAAATATAGTTGTCCCCCGAAAAAGAAAAAAACCTTGATTGTGCACACATAATTTATTTAAAATTTTTTTCCAAATCACCCTATAAACTCGAACATAATGAGAGAAGGACAGTGCATTATGCACGGCCATAGATTACCTAGTATAAACTCAAATGATTGTTTTGCTTAGATTTAGAGTTTTCGGTCAGTTCTATCAGCAATGTGGATTTTTTTGAAATTTTGAGAAAGGTTTGATAAATATCGAATGTTTAGTGGAATAGAAAGAAGAATGTAGAGGGAAAGAGGGCCAGATAGAGTTGTCGGCAGGATGAAGAAGAAGAAAAAAGGAGCGGTTTTTTTTTTTTTTTGTCCTTCCTTTCTTTTTTCTGGGCGACTGTGGTTGGGTGAGGGTTGTTATTTGTGGTTTTATAAACTTGACTACCTGAGTTGCTAGAATTGTCGATTTATATTACCAAAAGAAGAGAGAGCACCAGGAAAGTGATGTTAAAAAATTCACAGAATTCAAAAATTGAATTTCGCTCTAAGAACACAGTATTTAAGACATTTTGAGATGAAAAAATGTTCCATATTTTTGTCTGGTGTTTGTTTTCTATCACTGTCAACTTAAGATTTTCGATCCGTCATATTCTGCAGTTCAAAGTTCCATGTTCAATCTTTACAGCAAGAAAAATAGAATGATTCCTTACTAATCATCCATTTCATCCATCCAATATTATTCCTTTTCCTAAGTGGTGGATAATTGATTCCTTAATTCATCTTACGGCAACTTTTAACTATGCAAACAATTTACATAAAGTTATACTTTGCTTTACTGTCTAGCAATTCTTGGAGTGTTGATGTGACAAATCCATTTCTCTGAATCTTATCCCCTATTTTATATAAATTTATTCGTAGACATTGGACGTTAGGCACATATCGAACTGAAAAACCTATCTAACCTGTAAAAATTTTCAGATTACAATCTCAAAAATTCTCAAGAAAATGGTTGGCTTCTCAAAAGATGGTTTTCAAGGCTTTCCGGGAGACTTAACAATTGTTTTAGTCGGCAGCCCGGGAAGTGGAAAAAGTGCGACAGGAAATTCGATCCTTGAACGGAAAGCTTTTCAGTCAATCTCTGGCTTTGATCGCGTGACAACTACTTGCACGCGAGAAGCCACTGTATTAGAAGATGGGAGAGTTCTCAACGTGATTGATATGCCCGGTAATGCAATTGTTTTTATCAACGATTTCAATCAAGTTGCGGGAAGTAGTTTTTTTGGTCAATTGTCTCGGGATGATTTCCAGTAAAATTAACTGAATATCACTTACTTATTTTTTTTTTAAAAAAAAGCAAGAGTGTTTATTTAGTGGATGTTGCCGATGTAGGCTTGTTCGATTCTACTTTTAAACGTGAAGATGTTGAGAAAGAGGTTGTCCAATGCATCGAAATGGCTAAAGATGGCATTCATGCCCTTCTTTTGGTTGTGTCACTAAGAGTTCGGTTCAACGAAGAGCAAGTTGCAACTGTTGAGATTTTGAAACACTTGTTTGGGGACAGAATTCTTGATTATATAATTGTCTGTTTTACTGGGGGTGATGAATTGGAAGAAGATCAAACATTGGATGAATACATGGCCTATTCATGCCCCCCAGCTTTACAGGTAATTTGGTTGGTCTTAATGTTCCAAACAAAAATACTCCAACAGGACCCTTAAACTTAATTTTTTGGCGATACATATTTCATGCTTATTCTTGATATGTAAATAATGATCATTTGTATTTTTTATTTTTTATTTAATTTTTGAAGTACTCCATTTGTCCCAAAATAAGAGCCAGTCGAAAAAGAACTGATTGTGGCCTCCCTCTCAATGGGTGAAATGTAGGATTTACTTGAAAAATGTGGAAATAGAAAGGTAGTTTTTCATAACAAGGCAAAGGAGAAGGAGACCAAGACTAACCAACGCCAACAACTTCTTACTCTGATAACCAGCATTCTTGTGAATAATGGTGGAAAGCCCTACACCCATGATCTGGTTGTTAAAATCGAGGTCAGGCCTCCATTCATGATTAGTTTATGTAATTTACATCCTATTTTAATAGTTGTATTTTAAAAATATCTAAATTTTAGATTTTTAATTAACAACAGCAAATTTAGAAGTTGAAACTTAACCTAATGAAATAGACGGAATAAATTATGTTTATTTGTCAATTATATCATAATGTTTGAATATATATAAATCTCGTAAGCCAAATTTTGAATTTTCTCTTTCAAAAATTTAATTGCTTTAATGGGAGGTATAAAGTAGTAAAGAAGAAACTAAATTTAGTACTATTTTAATTCTATTTTTCAAATATAAATTGACAGAATGAAAATGCTGCAACGGATTCCAAGAATTCAAACCAGGAAACGGATAAAGTATCAGAAGAGGAGGAGTTGCAGCGAGGCAGTGCTGAAATGGTATATATATGAAAAATTTAATTGTTTTATTTTTTTTATTGCCAACCTGATTGCTTAAATCCTCCTCTCAGTGTCTAAGAAAATTAGTTCGCTTCAGATTTACCAATACTAGCAAACTATGAATGTACATGTGCTAGCTCGTACTTGTAAACTTACTACTACAACAATTATATGGTATAAAACATCATGACATTGGATACTTTTAATTAGGAATACATATTCTTAAAAAGTGTCAAATTAAAGCATAAAAGCATGCCTTGGAATTTATACACTACAATATATATTTGTCGGATTAGGTTGTGGGTATATAGCAATATTTGGCTATTTAATGAGATACTCTTTTAGTATAAAATGCAAATTGTATATATATTGACACAGTTTCTTATTATCTATTAGGATTCAATAATATTAGACACTTTCTGAAACTACGTACTGAATACTATATGTCATGTGTTCTACTACTCTACTTTTTATGTCCGAATTGATGACCCAATTAATTACATTTGTATTTCACTTGGTACGTAGGTTATTGAGAAGCTAATGGAGAGGGAGGAAGAAACTGTAAGCTTAACACATGAAGTTGAGAGACTTAAAAAAGAGCATAATGATCACATTGAAGAGCAGCAAAGTCCCAAGATGAAATATGGAGAGGTTGAGGACGCAACTGGGAAAAGCCCTACTGAAAATTGAGACAACCGGTAGGTGTGTTGTGATGCGATCATCATCAATCATCAATATATAAAATTCCCTCAGTCCCAAAAATAAATTAATATTTACTTTATTTTACTTTTTTAGTTCAATCAAATTAATTGAATAGTTTTTCCGGACCGTGTAATATCAATTTCATCTTATGGCATATATTTACTCCTCTGCTACTTTACGTGACTATATGGAAGTGCGATTAAGAGGAATTTGTCAAACTGTAACACTATATGAAAGTTCAATAAAATGTGTGAAAATGTTAGCATGAGTATTGTGTTGCTGTAAATAAGATTATTATCACTTATATAGAGCTGCTGTATTGAACTTGTCTATTTCTGTAAACTTAACAAAGAAGAATCAGACGAAGTTATATCTTTGTTGGACATAGGGATCACTACAACGCAATATCCGAATACTTATGGCATACCCACGGCCTCAAATACTCATGGGTTATCCGTAAAATTAAAAATATATATATATATATATTTTCTATTTAACCACAATATACCCACAAACATACCCTTTGACTTGACAAAAAATAATTGTATTTATTCGCGAAATTTCATTTCTCTTTAACCACGGTGTACCCACAAAATTTCATTTCCTATAGGTCAATACACAATAGCTACATTTGTTCGCATATTTGATTCAACAGTTTATCTTCAAAGTGAAATAAAAATAAGTGTTGTGAAAGCATACAAACTGGAAGAGTTAATCCCACAATAAGTTTCCCTTCCCTACCACCAGCAAGTGCTGCCTTATCGACCGATATCGGTGCTGGTTGTAAGAATTCCATAGAAAAAAGAATGGAACAACACTTTAGCCCTACTACAAAAGAAGTCCTATAGAAGAAATTGGTACCAAGTCCTTTGGTACAACCTCTTCATCAATGCCTAAAGCCTCAAAAAGATTCTTGGAATTTGCTAAAGAACTCCCAGCAATTGAACCACGTGGAGCAGATGGAGAGAAAACTGAACATGCCAATGAATTAACCAAAGCATGCCGAAGTAAGAAAAACAAGGAAACCACCATCTAGATTACAATTATGTCCACTTAAGTTAATGATACATATGTAACTACTAGAATCAAGTTTCTCCATAATACTATAATCTATCATATTAACTAGACTCTTACATACTCCTCAGTCGTGAAATTATTATCCAGATTGACTTTTTTATTTTTAGTACAAATTGAACTAAAAGCGAAATTTAAAGTGGACTATAATTTTAAGATAGAGGAAGTGTAGGAGAACATTGTATACTCATTTGCTTGATGATAATGCGCTAGATACATAGAGCATATTCCATTTTGGAGGTTGTTTTACATGGAACTCTAAATTATGTAGTTGTCCGGTGATGTTAGAGAAAACTCTCATGTATATTGCGTAGCATGCATCATGAATCTAATTATGTAGGCGTTGTTGATGCTGAAATTTATGGTTGTCCAACTTTATGTTTCTAAAACCATCGTACTTAAATGTATGTTTATTACAACTTTCTATCAATTTGCTAACATTTCAAAACTTGAAAGTAAAAATTTATACTTTATGAGACTTGATCATTGTTTACATTCACGAGTCCCTTCATATAAAGAAAAGTTGTATAACGCGCGGGGTGTGCATTATGCACAGCCTGAGTATTTATGTATATGTGTATGTGTGTATGTGTGTATAAGAAACGGTGAGTTTCTACAGTAACATTTTGAAAAAAAAAAAAAAGGCCATTCAGCATTAAACAGTGTAAAACTATTCATTCATACGACTTATCAAAATGAATCAGATTGTAAATTAATTTTTTAAATAAAAAAAAAGAAAAAAAATTACTAGAAAAGGAGAAAGGCCATAAATAATTGTTTTGGTAATCTGTGCCTAACGAAAAAGGTCAGTACCCCTTACTATAATTAAGGTTCACATAAATTAGCGAAGATTTGTTAATTAATTTTTGCTGATTGCAAAAAAAAAAAAAAATCCCAATTAAATATTTAGAGCATCTCCAACCAAAACACCAAAACACTAAATTTAGTATTTTGGTGTAAAGTTTCACTCCAAGGAATATACTAAATCACTACACTATTTTAGTACAATGAAAAGTGTTACACCAAATTTGGTGTAAATCATCCATTACACTATTTTTAGTGCACTATCTTTTTACTTAGATCTAAAGATATATTTGCCATGCAATTAAACTTGTAAAACAAATTATGTTATAAAAATTATATCATATTAAATATTTTGTTGAGATCTTCGAAATAAGACCCATATTGAATATAAATTTTTATTTGTTTAAAAAATATTTTTTAGTTATTACTAAAATTGAGTATGAAAAATAAGTAAAAAAAATTTGACACTTCTACAATCAAATAAAAAGCGCTATAAGGAACAAATTTCACAAAATTATTACCAAATTACATGATTTTAATTAACTACAAAAACAAAATTTAAACTAAAATATTTAATAGGTATACATTTTAGTGCATCAAGGTTGGAGTGTAAAAAGATACTTCAAATATTCCGTTTGTGTACTAAATTTCGTGTAAACTATAGTGCAATGGACGGAAAAAGCCAGTAGTTCAGCGCAAAGGCAAAAATCATTTATTATAACTATTAATCAATTTTGGACATTACAAAAGACAAAGTATACTTCTTTTTGAACAAACTTAAAAAGAGAATATCCCTTTGTCCAAAAATGATTGTCGAGTTAGAGGTTTAACTTTTAATACAAATTATACAAAAAGTTAAAATTTAAAATGGACGATTATTTTTAGAAATGCATTCCTTGTTATAAACAATCAAAAATAATTTGTTTACACGTAAGTAAAAAAATATCTTAATATCTTATCGAATTGTTCAAACTCGAATATAACGAGAGAAGGGCAGTGCATTAGTATTTTCTCAATTCTCAAATGATTGTTTTGTTTCGATTTTTATTTTTATGATAAATTTCAATACTCATGAGGACTCTGTTTTTAAATATTTTGAACTAGGAGTAATAAAATAAATATAGAAAGAAGAATGAGGAAGGAAAGACGGCAGGAAAGAAGAATAAGAAAAAAGGACCCGGTTTTCTTTTTTTTTTTTTTTCTGGGCGATGATGATTGGGAGAGGGTGGGTTACTTGAGTAGCAAGAATTGTCGGTTTATATTCCCCAAAGAAGAGAAAGCACCAGGAAAGTGATATTTAAACAAAAACAGAATTCAAAAATTTTACTTTGCTCTAAAAACACATTATTTTGGACATTTTCATTGGGATTGAAAAAATGTTACGCCATATTTTAAGCTGGTGTTTATTTCTATCACTGTCAACTTAAAATATTCGATCTGTCATATTCTAAGTTAAAAGTTCTATGTTCAATCTTTACAGCAAGAAAAAAGGAATTATTCTTTACTAATCTTCCATTTCATCCATCCAGGATAATTCCTTTTCGTAAGTAGTGGATAATTTATTCCTTGATTCATTTTACGGCAAGCTTTTAACTACACCAACAAATCATTGAAACTTGTACTTTGCTTTACTGTCTAGCAATTCTTGGAGTATTGATGTGAATAACCATTTCCCTGAATCTCATCCCCTAGTTTATATAAATTCATCCGTACACATTGGACGGTATGCACATATCTGAACTAAATAACCTATCTAACTTGTAAAATTTTCAGATTACAATGTCAAAAACTCTCAAGAAAATGGTTGATTCGTCGAAAGGTAGTTTTCCAGGCTTTCCGGGAGACTTAACAATTGTTTTAGTTGGCAGCACGAGAAGTGGAAAAAGTGCGACAGGGAATTCGATCCTTGAACGAAAAGCATTCACGTCAATCTCTGGCTTCGGTCGCGTGACAACTACTTGCGTGCGACAAGCCACCGCGTTAGAAGATGGAAGAGTTCTCCATGTAATTGATATCCCGGGTAATGCAACTGATTTTATCGACGATTTCAAGTAAAGTTAACAGAATTACTTATATATTCTTTGTCAATTGTTGCTGGATGATTTTCAAAAAATTTAACAGAAGCACTTGTTAAAAAATTATGTAAGAGTTTATTTAGTTATTATTGGATGCTGCCAATGCCGGCTTGTTCGGTTCTACTATCAAACGTGAAGATGTTGAAAAAGAGAGTGTTCGATGCATGGAAATGGCTAAAGATGGCATTCATGCTCTTCTTTTGGTTGTGTCATTAAAAGTTCGGTTCAATGAGGAGCAAGTTTCAATTGTTGAGACCTTAACGCACTTGTTTGAAGATAGAATTCTTGATTATATGATTGTCGCTTTTACTGGAGGCGATGAACTGGAAGATGATCGAACATTGGATGAGTACTTGGCCTGTTCAACCCCCGCAGCTTTAAAGGTAATTTTGTTAGTCTTTATGTTCCAAACAAAAATATTCCAACAGTACATGTGATCGATACAGCTCAAAGTTGTGGCTATACACACTTCATGCATATTCTAGATTTGTAAATAATGATCATTTGCATTTTTTATTTTTTTTATTTTTACTTGTTTTTTTAAAATACTCTGTTCGTCCCAAAATAAGAGCTAGTCACAAAAGAACTGATTATGGTAATGGGTGAAATACAGGATCTACTTGAAAAGTGTGGAAACAGAATGGTAGTTCTTGATAATACGGCAAAGGATAAGGAGACCAAGGCCGAGCAACGTCAACAACTTCTTACTCTGATTACTAACATTCTTGTGAAAAATGCTGGAAAGCCTACACACATCAGCAAGTTGTTAAAATCAAGGTCAGACCTCCATTCATGATTAGCTTCTGAAGTTTACGTTCCATTTTAACAGTTTAATTTTTATAAAAAAAAAACTAAATCTTGTATTTTTCACAATAGCAAGTTTAGAAGGTGATACTTAACGTAGAGAAATAGATCAAATATAATTATATTTATATATCAATTTTATCATCATTTCTAGAATGCTATATACAAATAACTCAAGTCAAATTTTGAACTTTCTTTTTGACGGAATTAATTGTTTTAATGGGACGAATAAAGTAGTAAAAAAAATACTAAATTTAGTACTGTTTGATTCTATTTTACAAATACTAATTGATAGAATGAAACTGCTATAATGGATTACAAGAATTCAATCAATGAAATGGATAAAGCGTTAGAAGACGAGGAGTTGCAGGGAGCCAGTGCTGAAATGGTATGTAAAACACAAAATGATGTTCTTCTTTTCTTTTGTTTTCTTTTATTATTTTTTTATTGCCAATGTGATTGCTTCCATCTAACTCTCTTTGTCCCGAGAAAATAGTTTTATTTCTTGTACTGTTTTTGTTTGACGAAATTTACTAGCACTAGCAACGTCAACAACTTCTTTTGGGAAATATTCCATTTCGCCAAGGGAAAAAAAAACAAAACAATTACAAATTTAGCTCAATGTAAACAAAAACTAATCCAAAACTACTTTCCACATACGTAACAACTCTAGCTTAAAGTGAATCATTAATATTCCCTACTTAAAATCCAATCTCTCACCATATCAATAACTAGTCTACTTAAAACTTCCGGGGATCTCCTCAACATTCCTATCTTACCATAAAAAAAAAACAAAGAAGTCAAACAAGATACAATATGCAACATCGACCAAATGGTTTACCTCTCTACCTATTTGAACCCCATTGTATACCCCTTTGTCACTCAACATGTGGCCACCTACATTGAACTTCATTTTGGAGAATAGCAACACAATTTATTGAGAACAAACAATTGAAGAATAGGTGTTGATGCGATTCAAACCCTAGCTCACAAAGAACACTCATTTCACCTCTGCACTATAACTAGACTTCTCTGTCATTGGGAGTTTTTCTCTAATTACCAGCAATAAGATAAAATTATTCCTAGAAATTATCCTAGGACCAAGAACAAGCTAAGTCCATCCCAAGGTTGGATGAGAACTTCGCAAAGCAAGGACTGCTAATGAAGTTGTGAATATTCCGTTCGAACTTTGTTTCCATTAAACATCTTCTCTATCCAGATAGATCATTGGTTAAAAAAATATGATACTCTGAATCTTAGGTGTTGTCTTATTCCATCCCCCTTCTGACAATGTCAGCAACTTCTCACTCTAATTACCAACTTGTAAAAGACAAAGGAAAGCCCCACAAACATCTTATTTTAAGGAATGTAGAAAGCAATAATTTAGAAATTAAATTTAGCATTAACTCATATTTTGGGAATCCTAATTCATAGAATGAATCTAGTGAAACAGATTATGAAGAAGGTGAAATTTGTACTCCAGCTGAATTACGGTACTCCAGGAAGGGTTGTGATCTGGAAGAGAATCTTGGGGGTAACCCAGGGTAGACACTTAAATGTTTAATTCAGAAAATGGGTTTTGGAGAACGTATTATTCGTAAATTGTTCTAGAGATTGCGTACCTTGATTGTTCTGTTGTAAGCCCTATTAATAGGCCATGAATTACCCGTTTCTTGTCTGAGTTGTAATAGGTTTTAACCACTTTGGCCGACTCTTTTAGGTCAGTAGGATTGAATCAAGGTAATGGGCCAGGTCCAACCTTATGATGCCGAATCAGACTCTTCAGGTGCCCATGTCAAGTGTTAATAAACGAAATTTATAATACTTTGCCGATGCCCCGATTCAAGGGTTGTGACACGGATGAGCCCAATTAAACCAAACTTTGGCCGATGCCTCGATTTGAGTATGCTGACCCGGATAAATACCACTCAAATTGGACAGACAAACACCATTATTGTGCACGTAACCCAAGCACCGGTTACCATCGTTATTTGGCCTTGAAACTCAAAAAACTTGTCTAATCACGTGTCCCCCCTTTATTCTATACATTATTAAGGAAAAATATTTTCTTTTTCACACCAAAACTGCATCAAGTTTTAAGGAAGAGAAGAGAGAGAGAGAGAGAGAGAGAGAGAGAGAGAGAGAGAGAGAGATTGCTGCAAAAGCCCTTCCTTCGCCATCGGAAAACCTTAGGACTTTGTCAACCACTCTGGTGTAGAATTGACAAATTTGTATCAAATAAAAAATACAGTAAGTGCTTCTGTTCTCGCCTTCTCTGATATTAATCTTCAATTTCACTTCCATTCCTTTCTTAGAATAGTCAGAATGGCTAAGAGAAAAGTTCTAACTAAGATTGTTGTCTCATATTATGAATCTTCCTTTAAATCCAATGAAAATGCCCTCGAAATTACATAAAAGTATAACCTTTCTGAGTCCTTAGAGCCTATTGCCTCTATAGGAAATCAGAGAACGGATATTGCTCCAACAAGAAAAATTACTATTTACTCGAGAAGTCTAGAAGAAGGCCTTGGGTTTCCCTAATTTTTCTTGTTTGGGGAGATAATAACTATTCTAAAGTCCCATTAGCTCGATTTACACCCAACTTGATTACCTATGTCCTGGGTTTGTGAAAATCTGTGCCAAGGTAAAAGTCGTTTCTCGACTAATAGTGTTTAGGTACTTCTTCAAGGCTTGTACTCTATCAACGGCGTATAAGCATTGATTTAATGACAAAAAGAATGCCTCGAATCATGCTCGAAACATAGTTTCTAGTTTCCCAAGGGCACTGTGTGGGACACCTGAGTATTTCTTCGTAAATGATCCACCGAATATGAATATCAAGCAGAATCATCGAGAAGCACATGGTTTAGAGCCAGTTGAAGATAAATGGAGTACTGCCAATAAGGAGCAAGCGGAGAAATACTCGAAGGACACAGAGAAGATAGAAAGCTTCAAGACCGTATTTTCCCATGGAGATGTTAAGGACTATAGTCTTCCTTTACAGTTTGAAGCTGAAAATGGTACTAACCATGTTTTCTTTTGTTTTTGTTTTAGGTCGTACATTCAAATTTCACCCCCGAAGACTTATACTCAAGTGCTATCCCTCTTGTCATTGATTCAGATGATGACCAATTACCAGCAAAGAAATAGGCCACCAAGGTGAAGAAGATTAAGAAAAGGAACATTTTGAGATGTTCCTGGAACCCTATTGACGAGGAACTTGGGAAGAAAAACAAAAACAACCAGCCCCCTTCTGATAAAACCGTTTGCACCACCACTTTAACAAAGGAAGAAATTGGAGAGAAGACCGAAGTTTACTTTCCCAAGAGGTTATCCTTGGCACCAAGGGAACTGCTGTGACATTCTTCGACCCACCAATTGTCGACTGTGCAGAGCTCGAGCAGAAGGCACTAGCAATGTCAACCTCTGAATGCCTCATGCAGGTAATTGCACTTCGAGACTGTATAGACAAGCAATGGCCCTCGAGCTAACGTTATCAGCTATATCGCAGGTCAATGCTATTATGATAAACTTCTTGTCTCAAATTAGAGATTTGAACACTGAAGTAAAGAAACTTCGAGATGAGAAAAAATCTTCCGAAGATTATCATCAGACACAACAACTCTTAAACACAAGGGAGAAAGAGATAGAGCAATTAAAGAAGGACTACAATGCCATCGATGAGGAATTGAAGGTGTCCATAAACTCTCATATCGCAAAGGACGATCTGTACACATGGTTAGTCACCTTTCTGTACAGGATAATGTCCAGTAAGGGAATGGTCGAGAAGGTAAAGACAGTCAACCTCTCATCCTTCAACTATGGTTGCCACTTCCTAGCTGTCGCGGTTCTCGAAAGTCTTGCCAAAGGTAAGGAAATTACAGCCAAGTGGATCAAACAATTCCTAAAAGAGGCTCCTCAAAAAAACTATGCGTCAGACCTTGGTTAAGGAGCTCACGCAGCCTGAAGAAAGCCAATTCCCTTTACTAGGGATTATTAAGGTTGCATTGCCCACCATGAAGGAGCCCGAGGAGCTGACAAAGCTAGTAGGGGATGTTTCTGTAGACTTGACATCTTTTCCCCCTCATGAATTATCCATTTCCGAGGTGTCAGATAAAAAGGAGGCTACTCCTCAAGTCGAGGAAGAAGATGAAGAAGAAGTAGAGGAAAAAGGTGACATATAAGGGATTGCTGATGATGGAACTGTTATACCTCCCAATGCTGGAGTAGTGGACCAAAGTGTGCCTGAGAGTAGTAATAGATTTGCAGTTTCACATCATGTAGTTACCGAAACATTGTATGACTTTTGCCTCCATTTTTAAATGCTCAAAGACAACTTTTGGTTGTAAATTTTGTTAAAGATATTTTCACCAAGAATATTCGTCCCTTAATTTATATTTTGCGAAACAAATGAATGCACTCATTTTATTTCGTATTTATAAGAGAGCTATGCCACTCAACGTATTCAAGTAATAATCTTGGATGACATAATGCTCAAAGGTTTCAACTTTACTCGGTATCGAACATATTGATTAAGAGGGACGACACCTACGATCCTGACACCGTCCAAAAGATAAAATTAGACTTACTCGATGCAATGAATACCTATAACATTCGATCTCAATCACGCTTGTGGAAGACGATTCAGAAGCTCCGTTATGAAATAAAACATCGAGAAGCTACAAGATTAAAACGATTCCCTCATATTTAAACAAGATTTGCATGAAGAAGTGGAGCGCCCAACGAAGGAGAATATGCAACTTTGAGCAGGGAAGAAGATCAACATTTCTCTGGTGTAATTGGAAAAATATACAATCCTTAAAAGACTAAAATCAAAGCTAAGAATTAGGACTACAAGATTCAATTTCTTAGTAGAACTCCTTAATCAGAGGATAAAAGATGTGTAGTTCCTCGAGAAGCAAACTGTTGCTTTTCAGGATGTCTTACTGGCTCATGAAATTCCAGCTCCGATCTTTGAGAGACCCAAGGATGAGGTGCCTCTTCATGTATAAACCACACAAGAGGAGTTACTTCTCAGGCCTAATGCTCAGAATGCGGATATAAATGGTCCAGACGACAAGTTAGATCAATGAATAGTTAGTTTGAAAAATTGAGGGTTTAAGGTTGTCTTGAAACTGTCATGAGATAATGCGTCAAAGAACACACTTGTAATAGACTAAATCTGAATGCAGATTCTGCTAATTGAAACATGATAGGGGAGTTGTTCCGCTCCATTCCTTGTGCATATGAAAATTTGAGGCTTTGATAATGTCAAACGCCAAACACTAGAGTTGACAAATTTGTATAGCACTTTTGATGTGGCCAAATGTCAAATACACGACTTTTTTGAGGAGACCTGGTACGAATTTCTCGAAATAAAACTTTTAGTTGTAAAAGTTTTGAGGAGCATGACTTTATAAATGTCAAGAAGATGAATACACGGCACTTCCGAGGACAATCCGAAAGAGGATATCCGTCTCGATGGCCAGTCATATGTAAATGTGTCAATAGAGAAAAGAAATATGTTTTTCCTAAAAGTATATTTCGGAAAATATGCAATGACTTTTACTGAATAATTACCCGACAATCGGGGTTAGCATTACATATCGAGGAAATAAAAATTGCAAAAGCAATTACAAATAAGGTCAAAATCACGCACATAAAATAGGAAATTAAACGTTGGACCTGCGAAGATTCTAGGCATTCCATCATCGAGGGAGAATCCTTTCAGTATCATCAATTGTTTCCAGTCGATAACTTTCTAATGGGGAGACCTCAGTCACACATTAAGGTCTTTCCTAGTTAGCCAATATTTCCCCTGGCTTCTGCATGACTGCCTTCATTCTCTCTCAGAACTAGATCGCACAAAACAAAGTCAATGCTCCAAACTTTCTTGTTGTAGTGTTTTGCCAACACTTCCTTATACCTAACTTCTTGAATATTGACAGCGTCCCGCCTTTCTGCGAGAAGGTCTAGATTCATTCTGAAATCCTTATTATTGGCTTCTACTACGAACCCAATTGCTCGAAGACTGTGCAAACCAATTTCAATGGGTAAGACTGCATCAGTTTCATACACCAAACTGCATGGTGTTTCATCTGTCGAGGTATGTGCAGTTGTTCGATAAGCCCATAAAACATAGGGAAGCTCTTTTGTCCATGCTCCTTTCAACCTTTGTAGCCCGGTTTTAATCCCATCCAGGATAGTTCTATTAATAGTTTCTGCCTATCCATTAGCTTGCAAGTGTACTATTGATAAGAATCGTCATTCTATAGGCATTTCTTCACACCAAGACTTCAAAGGGTCACTCACAAATTGCATCCCGTTATCTAACACAATGATTTTAGGTATTCCAAAGTGACAACTGACATTTTTCTAGAATATATTCAACACCTTTCTTTGAAATATCAAGGCCAACGGTTCCGCCACTGCTACGATTACCCGTCTTCCTCCTCCTACTCGATTTGGAAAAGGGTCAACGATGCCTGTTACCCATTGGTAAAATGGCAAAGGAGTTTGAATTGCTACCATCTCATGTTGTGGTTTTCATACAATAGGAGAGAATCTTAGACATCTGTCGCACTTTTGCACAAATTGATATGCATCTTTGAACACGATCGACTAGAAATAATAAGCTCTAAGGACCATTTCAGCAAATCCACGAGCACCAATTTGTGCCCCGCACGATCCTTCATGAATTTCTTCGTGAACATACATGGCTTGTCAAAGACCTATGCATCGTAATGACGGCAAAACATGCCCATGCTTTTATAGCAAACTCACCACGAAGTGTTTATTTCAAAGCTTTCAACTTTATATTTTGACTTTTTGACCTTTTATTGAGCAAAGTACTGTCTATCAAAAAATTGATGAAGGGTGTCATCCAACTATCTCCTTCCGTGAAAAATCTTCATGACCGGTACTCGACCCCCCCTAGGTTGAGATATAGCTTTTACCCAGAACATGTGATGAGGTGTGCCAATTTTGAAGAAGCTAACTTACTAAGGGCATCTATTTAATTATTCCTTGAACATAGAATGAGATAAATTACACAGCTTGCAAGCTTCTTCCCCAACTCAAGAGCTTTCTCGACATACTTTTTAAGGTATTTCTCATACATGGTATAATCCCTGTTGATCTAACTAACCACCGCCTTGGATTCACTGGAGACTCAATCTTCCTAACTCCAAGCTTCGAAGCCGTACTTAGCCACACGGATTTATATTCTGCAACATTGTTGGTTACTGGAAAATTGAACCTCAAAGCGTAGGTGTTTTCGTCATTGTAGTATTTCATCTCCCTTGTATCGTTATCCACAGTCGGTTTGGTGAAAATTATACATGCTCATCCTCCTTCTTCACAAGAGGATCCATTGACATAAAGTTTCCAAGTGTCTGTTTATGGAATGGGGCGTTTTCAGCTTTGTTGGTCTTGTTTCCTCGTTAAGCTGTCCCTCTTGAACTAGCAGCATCTTGACTAGAAAATAAACACGTGATTGTCCCTTCAGTGTTGTTCTAGGTTTATACTGGATGTGATGTTTTCCTAGTTCTACCGCCCATTTTATCATTCTTCCAAAAGCCCCAGCTTTGAGTAACGCCTGTTGAATGGATTGTTTCATCATTACCTGTATATGGCATGCTTGGAAGTAGGTCTTAACCTCGAGCTGCCATGACTATGATTAATATATATTTCTCCATGGGTGTATATCAAACTTTTGCCCCTTGCAAAACCCGGCTCATGAAATAGACAAGAAGCTCTTTACCATTCTTTTGTTGGATCAGAATAGAGTAGAGTGCTCGATCTTGAGCTGCGAGATAAACAAGTAGGAACTCCTCGAGGCTGGGTTTAGCTAAGGTTGGCAACTATTTGAGATGATCTTTTCACACCAGGAAAGCCTCCCGGCATTCTTTATCCTACTCAAAATTTCTTCCCTTTTGAAGTATTTTTAGAAATTGTAAGATCCTCTCTGCTGCTCGAGCAAGGAAGCGATTCAAAGCTACCAAGTAACCTGTTATTTTTTTAAACATCCTTAACTAATTTAGGTTCCTCATCACTAGAATTTCCTCCGCTCTTCGTGGATCGAAGCTGATGCTATCATTGGAGACTTGAAATCCGAGGAACTTGCCTGATCCCACACAGAGAGCACACTTCTTCGGGTTAAGTTTCATGTTGATGCTGCGAAGAAACATGAATATTTCTCGCTTGTCTGAGACTAGTCGCTCTTCATTGTAACTTTGGATGACCATGTCATCTACATCGATCCCAAAGTTTCGTCTAATCTGATTATGAAATGCTCGTTTGACCAACCAATGAAAAGTAGCCCTAGCGTTCTTGAGGGCAAAAGGCATCTTTTCATAACAATACACTCCCATCTCTGTGACGTAGGTAGTTTTTTCAGCATCTTCTTTAGCCATGAGTCTCCGATGATCTCCATGTAAGGGTCGAGGAAACTCAAGATCAAGTAACCAATGATGCCTTCTACCATTTGATGAATGACTGGCAAAGGATATTGGCCCTTTTTCAATTTCTACCCAAAACTCAACCAATTTGCACCAATTTGCCCATGTTTTTCTGATTTTGCAATTCAGCCCTTTGATCACCAAAAGTTACAATAACTAATTAGAAACATCTATTTACTAATAAATTAAATTATTTTACAACTTGATAGAGGAAAATATAGCTTGTTAAATCTATACAAGTTGCCTCCCATAACTTGGGGATTAGACTGAAAGGGCAATTTCTGGACCAAAGTGCAAGAATACAACCAATGGTAGAAATCAGATTCTATGTCACATATAGAAACTTGGAGACAAAATTTTAATAATTGGAGATTTAAGAATCAATTTGGGAAATTTAGTCCCAGCCTAAAGACGACGTCATTTCTGACTTCTATCATTTAGCATGGGATCGATTTCGTTACGGCTTCATAATTATTGTAATTTGTAGCAATTTCGGAACTTTCTTGGTAACTATGCCATTTTGTCTTTTTTCTAAAAAATCTGTTGTAATAGCTAAGTAGGAATCTTGGCTCTCACTCTCTAGGTTCGTCGTGCCTCACATGGCTGGCACGCTTAAAAAACCTCTCCTTTGCATCTTCATCGTGCCACTCATGGCCGTTGCACGGAAATAACCTTTTCTTTACAGTTAAAGGTCTGTCATGCCATGTTTGGGTGGTGAGTTTGGAAATACCTGCTTGACTTATGATCCATTGCCACATCTCTGCTTGGTGCGATTACATTGGCACTAGGCTCACAACTCATCCAATTAGGCATCACATCAAGTGTACTAGTTCAAGGGTTTAGGGGCAATAATACGGAGCCAACATATCGCTCAACTGTTTCCAAACAGGGCAAATAACTGATAAGCCCTCCTGACCTGTATCAATGCTAGAACTGTATGGGAACGCGTCTAGGGCCGCCAATGGTCACAATTGGTAGCGGATCAGGCGCTCCTAATCTTTGATGGTTTAGTCGCTTTTGACACAATGTCGATTTCCCATGGCTTTTTCGCGTCGATTTGCCATGCGCCTTCTCATCTGCTTCTTTTCCTCTATTGATAGATTTAAAAATCATAAATCCTCAAAGCTAATCTGCGACCGTAGTGCTCTTAAATTTTGGAAAATTATTGGGTAGGCCATCAAGCCTCGATCGCGCTAAAGCACGGGGCTCCCCAACGCACACCACTATGGTTCTCTTTGACGCAACCTCACTACTGCGACGGGGGCTTGACATGCCCCAGGTCTCCCAGGATAGGACCTCTTGCCTAAGCGGAGCATTGCTCACTTAAAATGGGGCTTCTCACTTGAGCAGAGTGTCTCTCACTGATGGCTCACCCTTGTTTTCCTCGGTTAGAGGGTCTCACGCCGATCGCTCATCTTAGATCGGCTGGGTTATGACTCTTAACTAGGGTGAAGCACTGCTCACTAATGTTTCCATCGCCTCAGTTGGGACGTCTTCCACTGATGGTTTTGTCTTGGTCGCCTCGGCTAGAACTTCATCCGCTGGCCATCTCCCTGGATGTCCTTCACTCTCTTTCTAGTGAATGTTCCTGACCACCTTGGTTGGAATGGTATTCGCCATTAGCTTCTCATTATTTGCTTATGAAGGAGTCCTATTCATCAAGGTTGAATCCTCGAGTGGTATTCACCATTGACTTGTTATTACTAGCCTTTATAGATGGAGGTAGTCCTTGACCAGCTACCCTTGCATTCTTTAGGATCGTCGCGTCCTTGATACCCCATGTGAGATCGCTAAGATTATGGCATCTTGCCCGGTTAGAGCATCGCTCACCAGTAACTCGTCCTTATTGGAGCGTCCCATTTTGACTGTCTATCTCGAATCGCCTACATTAGGGATCCTCACCTAAGGAAACCATTGCCTGCCTTGGCTTAGATTTCGCTCGTTGGTGGCTCGCCCTCCCTCACCCGATAGTCAATATCTTTGCTCAATCGTTTATCCTGGTTGACCGGCCGTTCATCAATGGTGTGCTGTAAATCGCCTTGTTTGACACGTCGCTGTCTTAGATCTCATATATTGAAACTGATCGCTTTGGTTCGAGCATAATCCACCAATTGCGCATTCTTCATCGTCTCAGAGCATGATATGCTAATCGCTTGTCCTTGTTTGCCTTAGGAAGGGAATCCCTTATTAAGTATCTATTACTAATAGCCTTGGTTGGAGTGTCGCTCCCCCAATGGCTTACTCTTGAACGCTTTGATGTTTTGACCATCGATGACTCGTCCTCATTTGTCCGTCATTGGCTTACCATCAAAAGCTTCTGTTGCGGCGTTGCCCTATCCATATTCACTCTGATTGAAGTGTTAGCCGTCATTAATCTGTGTTTAACAGCCACCCTAGGTGGAGGTAATTCTCAATGGCACATCCTTTGGTTCCCTAAGGGTCACGCAATTGCGCTCACAGGTTAACCTTAGGGTCGCCCAATGGTGCTCGCTTCCCTCCGGGTTGCCCGATGTTGCTCGCTGATCTCAGGGTCACGAAATGGTGCTCGCTTACCCCCGGGATCGCCCAATGGCACTGGCTAACCTCGGGGTCATGCCTTGGCGCCCGCTGATTTTGGGATCGTGCAATCGCGCTTGCAGGTTTCCAGGTAGTGCCATGCCGCTCGCTGACTCCTGGGTCGCGCAAACGCACTTGCTTTCCTCGCAGTCACACGTTGAGACTCATACCTGGGTCGAGCAAGGAGCTACGAGTCTCTTTGCCATCGCACAACTACAGTGGCATACACCTTCTTCAATCCACCTAAAACAGCTTCAAGATACGATCGTGAGAGAATAGCATCAATGTCAGCTGGGTTGTTTTGTTTCTTGCTACACGGTACCAATTTCCTCAAATCGTGGATTGTACCTTCCAACTCTTCAATCCGCTCATCCTGTTCGTCCCAAATTTGGATGAAATCATGGAGATAGCCCTCCTAGAAATTTTCATCCTCCAGTAATCGTATTGGCAACGCTTCAACAACAACCTCAACGCCTTGAATTCCACGTTGCACATGGATCGCACAAAATCCTTTAGTGTGTGCATTCAAATTACAGGAAACGATCCAGTGGTAAAAAAGTGACTCCTCTACATCTACATTGGGATCAAGCATAAACACGAATACCATCCTATTCCCAACCATCCTCTCTAACCGCAACCCCATCTGCAGGCAGTAATACAGCAACACTGCACAATGGGGTTGATCAACACCACATCTGGTATGCCTGGACCACTCCCCCATATTCTATTGGGTCTCCCCGAGACGAGTGGTGTCATACATGCCAGGAGGACCACAGTCAAATTATGCAAAAGCAAATGGACATATACCTCAACGCTAACATTATCTTGGGACATTGAGGTCTTGTCTCCGGCAATCGGAAGAACTCCGCTACGAGCATTCTTCTCAGCAGCACTCTCACCTCGCGACCCACCACCAGAGGAAGAGCAATAGCCAAAAGAAGAGTTGTCACTTGAAGACTCAATGGGCAATGAAGAAGGGGCAACTACCCCAGATGGCATGTCAAACGCGTCAATCAGATCATGTTACAGAACCAAGATATTACGCACAGCTTCTAATATAGGTAGATGTCCTAGATAGCCTTCGTCATAGGCAAAGTGCCAATGACGGCGTTGCGGATAAAGGCACGGGCATCCCTGCACACCTTTTCCATCAATAGGTTGCGATCCTGGTAGCTTCCCAAGAGGTGGCCACCTTGTTATGAAGCATGGCTGCGTCCTCTAGGTCAGACGCATAGTCTTGAAGATCTATACCAATAAATCATGCGCTCCAACATCCCTGCCAACCCCATCATACTCCCAACCCCCCAACACAAACCGGTGTGAACCCAACACTTTCCTTACATCAGCGGTGATAATATCCCCAAGGATTGCACGAAGGATTAACGACCCCAACATATTCTTGTGGTCTGTCCCCGATACCCACAGCCCAGCATTCAAGTGCGCAACCTTTACCTTGAATGAATCAATGGTACAGACTTGGTTGTGAATCTGTTCCTCAAAGTCAATCTTCACCTTTAGTATCTAGGAATGCGGAGTAGCCACTCCAGTAGTGACTCCTTCTATGCACATCCCCAATGAGCCAAACCGGTGATGTACCACACCGCTCTGCGCTTAAAATACTGCTAGCAAGAAACTTTACTATTTGAGAACCATGAATAGAAAACACGGGATGGATCAAACTCCTCTTGCCGCATCCTGAGATTGGCAATGACCTATTTGCGACCTTGTGTCCGCTCCTGGGAAGTCAGCGGTCGTGGTCTCAACCAAATCTTGTTCAATCGCAGTAGGATTAGGAGGCACCTGGGAAGCGCCGCTCCCATCCTTGTTCCTTCTCTTGCTCCCAGCCTTCCATTTTCTTGACAGTTTCAGTTTCTCCACGATCGCAGTCTTGGCCATGTCGTCTGCGGTTGCCGCTTTAGCATTGGATAATAATTCTTTATACCGCCGCGGTTGCCGCATACTGTTTCTTCTTTATGTTCGCATTGGTAGTGCTTCTGTCCACACCATAAGGGGACGGCAATGTCTCCGGAGTCCTCAAAGAAATAGTATCCCCCCCATTTCACACCACGTTTGTCAACGAAAATTAGAGAGTAAGATCGCGTCAACAGATTATGTTAGGAGCTGAACCACCCAGAGCAGTTGCATTGTGAACGCATCATCTTGACAAAGCATCAAAACAAGAATCATCGCTAATTCCATGATTGCGCAATTGTGTTCGCAGGTTCCCAGGTAGCGCCATGCCGCTCGCTTACTCTTGGGTCACGGATAGGTGTCCGCTAGTTTCAGGGTCGCGCCATGCCGCTCCCTAACTCCTAGGGTCGCTTCACCCCGACCCAATGACATACCTAAAAGAACACCAGAGTGAATGGGATCACATTTGGCGACCACTCTGCCTGGGGCATTTCATACACCCGTATTAAGGCCGTCACAAAATTAATAAGGGGAAGATTCAACCCAAGTTCCAATTGGCAGAAATATATAGTCATTTTCCCGGGAGGGTATATCTTCAGATCAGTGGACTGGATTTTGCGCTAAGCTTGTGCTTGAGGATATACGCAACTGCGATCCCCAAAACTGACCAATGATAGTAGTGCTCTAAAACTAAGAAACTTATCGTGTCACAACTAGGCTATGACTTGCCTTAGATCGCCCACATTAGGGCTCGCCTGAAGAGAGAGTTGCGCGCCAATGATTACCTTTCCTCCTCCTGATTGAATTCTCACTGTAGATTGTCCTTCTTATTCTTCTGGTGAATATCTTTGCTCAATCGTTTATCATTGACCGCATCGATTGAAACGGCATTTGCGTAAGTCGTGTTTTTAACGGTGTAGGTATAGCCGCCTATTTGGTTTAAGAGCTCCTCGCCGGTCGCTTGATTGATCACCCCGTGAGAGCATCTTTCAATCATTGATTGTCTTTGTTACCTCCGAACGAGCATCGCTCCTTAGTTGTTTACTGTCGATCGCCTTGGTTGGAGTATTGTTCTCCCAATGGCTTATTCTTGAATGCTTGGGTGTGTCACTTGCCCATGGTTTGTCTTTGTTTATCCGCCAGTCAGCTTACCATTGAAAGCATCTGTTGGAGCATCGCTCACTGACGTTGCATCTTTGCTTACTTTAATTGAAGCGTTGCTTGTCACTTGTTCTTAGCAACCACCATAGGCAGAGGTAATTCCCACTAGGGCACCCTCAAGTTCCTTGAGGATCACGCAATTGCGCTCGCCTTGAGGATTGCGCAATTGCGCTTGCAGGTTCCCAGTTAGCGCTATGTCGCTCGCTAACTCCCGGGTCGCGCAAACTCGCTTGCTTGCCTCGGGGTCGCGCGTTGGCGCTCGCTTATTCCTAGGTCTCTCATTGGCGCTCTCTAGCGTCGAGGTCGCGCGTTGGCGCTCGCTTATTACTGGGTCGCACATTGGCGCTCACTAGTTTCAGGGTCGCGCCTTGGCGCTTGCTGATTTACCTTGGATAGATCGTCATTCTCCAGTGGCCTATGCACCTTCTAGTAATGGGGCAGCAATCTGCTTATACATCCATAGATAAGTCACTCGATACTTGAACCTTGAGCACCAACAACCGGCATTCCAGCTGTCTAGCATGGTCGCGATCTCACCTACTTACTTGGACCCTCGAATGGACAGCTTCACAGCAAGACTGGATGACAGGTCCATTTTCACTTGTATGCCAAGTCTTCTATTCAAACTTAACTGCTGTGAAGATGTATTTTCTACTAACACTTGGAAGGGGCAATTAATGGGGCATGGATCGTTGGTCTCCACTAACTTACCTCAACCGCTCGATGATGGGGAAACCCTCTACCCGCCTGAGGATTCGGACAAAGCGATCTGACATCCACAAATCTTGATAACATACCCGCCTGTGGAGTCCCAATTCACACATCTTGTTACTAAAGCCCGAATCCTGATAACATATCGGATTTGGTCTTTAACAGGGCAATTGATGGGGCAATAAATAATCTATTACCTTTTGGGCCTAATCTTAAAAGCCCAAGTAACACTCAAGATCCATATGGAGCCATGTGCACCCATGTACTTGGGGAATATTCTTATATTCTTTCTTAGGTCTCTAAAAAGGGAGTTCCTCATTCATTTATTGGGCATCATTCTCTCTCTACATAGTATTTAATACTTTTCTTTTCTCTCTCTAAAAGTTCTGACTTTAGCATTACAGTGCTAACTCTGTTTTGCAGGACATTTTAGGAATTATAGGCGCTGTCCCGTGGACTAACCAAGGAACGTACCAACATGAAAGGAAAAAGAAAAGTGAAGGGTAAAGAGGGGCCGATGGAATTGTGGGTAGGAAAAGAAAAAGAAAAAAGGGGTTTTTCATTTTCTTTTTTTTTTTTTTTTCAGAACGAATACGTTTAGGGGTGGGTTATTCGTGTTTTTGCAAATTTAACTATTGACTTGCGAGAATTGTCGGTTTATATTCCCAAAGGATGAGAGGACACCGGGAAACTGATATTCAAAATTTTACAGAACTCAAAAGCTGAATTTCCCTCTAAAGAAATGCATTATTTTAGACGTTTGAGATTAAAGAAATGTTCCTTCATGGTGGGACCTCGTGCTTATTTCTGTCTGTGTCAACCTAAAATTTTCGATCCATCATATGCTAAGTTCTAAGTTGTAGGAAGGGGGTGATCAATGTTTGCTGTATTAAAAATAGAAGAGTTATTTCTTTCTAATCTTCCATTTCATCCATTCAGTATAATACTTTTTCTACGTGGTGGGTAATTCTTTGATTCAATTCACGGCAACATTTAACTTTATTAACTAATTACTGAAAGTTATGCTTTGCTTCACTTACTAGCAATTCTTGGAGTATTCATGTGAATAATCAATATTTCTGAACCTCGTCATCTTGTTCTATAAATTCATCCGTACACACTGGATGCTATGCACATATCTGAACTAAATCACCTATCATACTTACAAAAATTTTCAACTTACAGTATCAAAAGTTCTCGATAAAAATGGCTGGGGCCTCAAATGGTAGATTTTATGGCTTTTCGGGAGACTTAACAGTTGTTTTAGTTGGTAGCACGGGAAGTGGAAAAAGTGCGACAGGAAATTCGATCCTTGACCGAAAAGCATTCAAGTCAGTCGCTACGTTTGGCCGCGTGACAAGTATGCAACAAGCCACCGTGTTAGAAGATGGGAGAGTTCTCAAAGTGATTGACACGCCAGGTAACGCAACTGTTTTTATTGACTATTCCCAGTTACTTATCTCCTCCGTCAAGCAAAAGCCTTTCAGTTTTAGTTCAATTTATTTTAAAATAAAAACACAAATTGGACAATTTATAATTTTGAGATAGAGAGAGTATTTAATTATACTCCTTTTGATCTTTAATATAAGACATTTTTATTTTGTCCTAAGTTTCACCTGATATGCATTTTTTATTGAAGGAAAAATCTTAAAGATATGTTTTCAAGTTCGTTGTGTTCTTCTAATTGATAGAAAATATTTTTTAGATTTTTTTCCAATTAAAATTACTATTAGGTCAAACCTAAAACAAATCAAAATGCCTTATATTAAAGACCGGAGGGAGTATAAGTCAAGTTAACGGAATCACTTACTTAATTCGAAAAGATATAAAAGTGTATTCATTGATGATCAGATGATACCAATGCAGGTTTGTTCGACACAACTAGTAACCGTGAAGATGTTGAGAAAGAGATTGTAAGATCCATACAAATGTCTAAAGATGGCCTTCATGCTCTACTTTTGGTTGTGTCATTGAAAGTTCGGTTCAGTGAGCAACAAGTTGCAACTATTGAGACCTTGAAGCATTTGTTTGGAGACAGAATTCTTGATTATACGATTGTCACTTTTACTGGAGGGGATCAAGTGGAAGAAGATCAAACATTGGACGATTACTTGGCCCGTTCATGTCCACCAGCTTTGCAGGTAATTTGATTACACTCCTGGATCCATAAAAATAGTTCAACATCACCTTATGATAGAACCCAATCTTATGGGGCTATATATTTCATCCATTTTCCTGATATGTAAATAGTGATGATTCTTATTTAAACTTTAACATATATTATTTTTTATTATATTCGTATCAAAATAAGAGTCAATCACGAAAGAACTAATTGTGGCCTCTTTCTCAATGTGTGAAATGCAGGATCTACTTGAAAAGTGTGAAAACAGAAAAATAGTGTTTAATAACAAGGCAAAGGATAAGGAGACCAAGGCTCGGCAACGCGAACAAGTTTTTGCTCTCATTGCCAACATTCTTGTGAGAAATGGTGGAAAGCCCTACACATATGATATGTATGAACAATTCCAGGTCTGGTCTCCCTATGTAATTAGCTTCTGAAATTTACGTCTTATTTTAACAGCTCAATTTAAAAACCTATTAGATTTTGAACTATAAAAAGATTAGGATTTGATACTATAAACATAATGAAATAGATTGAAAATTATATTTATTTGTCAAATTTGTCACAAGTTTTAGAATGACATTGTATATAGAAAAATCTCGTAGGCCAAATTTTGAGCTTTCTCATTGCTGCAATTGAATTATTTTAACGAGACGGAGGAAGCAGAATTGAGGAACTAAATTTAAGAATTTAATCTTATTTTGCATTTACTAATTGGCAGAAGGTAATTGCTGAAAGGGAATATCCACAACGGAAAGGGAATAAAGCATTAGAAGAGGAGGAGTTGGAGCGACGCGTCGCAGCAACGGTATATACACTTAAAAGTTAAAACGGTTTTCTTTTTTTCTTTTTTTTTCTTTTCACTTTATGCCGACGTGATTTCGCTAATTTTAGTCTCTGAAAAATAATCCACTTTATAGCACTTTTATAATTTAACGAAATAAATTATTACTTCTTGAACAGAAAGGGTATATAAATTCTTTTGTTGCTTTGAGTCATCACTAGAGACCTGTCTTTACAGGATGTAGCTTTTCATTTTAAAACCCCAAATGAATAACATAAAATATAGATATTTGTATGAAAATTTTTGAATTTGCACATCGTATTATATGAAATATCATGCTAGTAAAAATTATGAATGAAAAAAAAAATAGTTATGGCATCAAACCGAATTAAAAAAAAAAAAACAAAAATAAACAGATTTTAACAAGGCCAATGAGTATACATGTATATGTGCTTGCTCATTACAGGCAAATTCAATGCTACAACAAATACTGTATATGTTATAAGCTAGCCTTACATTTGGATAATTTTAGGAAGTCATTTTCTTCAAAAGTGTCCACATGTCTTAATATCATAAAACACTACATATATAATTGTTGTGTTACTGTATACTATTTGGCTATTGAATGAGATATACGCTGCAATATTAAATGCAAATCTATTGGCCCAGGGTCTTATGGGCCGGCAAGGATTCAATAATATAAGACACTAATAATGAATATTTGTCATGGATCATATTACTCCACTTTTTAATTCCAAAAGGATGACCCATTTAATTACGTTTTGCTTTTTAATTGGTACTTAGGTTAATGAGAAGCTGACGGAGTGTGACGCAATGATCAGTAAGTATAAAGAAGAGGTGGAGAGACTTCAAAAAGAGCTCTATAAGCGCAATAAAGAGCAGCAAAGTTGCAAACACGAACAAGGGCAGCAATGTTACACTTGCAAACCTGCAAAAGAGGAGCCATGTGGCCCACCGGTGATTCCCGGTGTGCCGCAACAGCAGCCGGTGATTCCGTGTGTGCAGCAGCAACAGAAGCCGGAACTAAATCCGGTGGCTCCGTGGGTGCAGCCACAACAGCAATGGATAGACAGAAGAGGTGTTATGCCGAAGCCCACGGGGTGTGTTGTGATGTGATCAATATACGAAGCTCCTTCGGTCTTATAAAAAAATTAATAGTTCATTTTATTGTACTATTACAGTACAACAAAATATACTTTTTTTTTTTAAGACCGAGGGAGTAATAGCAATTTCATCAGGATGCCATCTTTACTCTCTAGCTAGTACCTTTCGGAGCTATATTGAAGTGCAATAAAGTGGAACTTGTTAAACTGTAATACTATGTATGGAAGTGCAATAAAATGAAGAATGTGTGTATACTTTTGTATGAGAATTGTGTTGCTGTGAATAAGATTATGATCACTAGTATAATGTTGTATTGGACTTGTCTATTTCAGTGAACTTAATAAACATGAATCATTTCGTCAATTGCTTGGATTATGTATTGGTAAGTTATACTATTATATGTAGTTCCTTGTATGTATCTTTACTAGCAGTAACATGGTTCTGCAAAAGATGAGAATTTAATTTGTACGTTGCTCTAGCCACCCTGTGGTTTCTCTCGATCGAGAGCAAAGTAAAAATTGATAACAATTTGATACCCTAAACTAATTATTCCATTAAATCCAGTCACAGTTCAAATAATTAAAGTTTTCAAAAAAAAAAAGAAAATAAAATATATAGACATTGAAATATTTTGTTCCCGGGTTCTGATTATAAATAATTGGGTTCAGATGAACTTGCCTATATTTGGCAATTGAGGATAATATATGATTCAATGCAGAATATCAAAAAACTAATTTGTTTTATTTATTGTTGAAAAGAAAAGTGCAAATGTAGCAAACAAGCTCACTCCACTCTTACCTATTTTCTTAATCTAACATAGTTGAAACTTCTTTGATCAAGAGCAACTAGACCTCTTAGGCGTCGAGTTAAGGATATCAGTCTCTGGACATCTTTTATATTTTCTCTAAGAGAATTTTCTTGTTCCAGCTGAATTTCTTATAACCAAAAAAAAAAAGGAATAAAAAACTAATTAACTACACGATTAATCAAAATTCAATTTAGTTGATCATCTTCATACTTATTTTCTTGGGAGCGGGTCGGGCACAATTTTGTTTTTATTACTGTCAACTTAAAATTTTCGATTGCTCATTCTAAGTTCCAATTTTTAAAAAGGGGTTGATCAATGTTTACAACAAGAAAACAAAAAGAATTATTCTTTACTAATCTTCCATTTCATCGATTCGGTATAATTCCTTTTTCTAAGTAGTGGGTAATTATTTAATTCTTTGAATCATTCATGGCAACATTTAACTTTATCAACTAGTAACTGAAGGCTTTGGTCTTCTATGCCACATTTGAGTAGCACTCCCTCTGACACCACTTAAAAAAATGACAAGTTTCCCTCAACTTAACATACTCATAACCAAATCAAAGTCTAGTTAACTCATCTAGTTAATTACTGAAGATGTAAAAGACTCATGTAGTACATTGTATTGACAAACATGTATATAGTGTTTAGGGTTACAATGATATTATAACAATACCCCCACTACTAGAAAACTAGATTTTAGAGGCATAAAAAAGTGCCCCAAGATATCACTTTATAATACACTTAGAGCTATTAAGGCATTTAGGAAAAGTGCCTTTTAATTCAATGTGATGATAGGAGTTTTGTCATGAAAGATAAGCTATAGAGGCATCTTAATATTTGGTATTATATAATATTTAAAGTGATTAGTAGTGCCTTAAAAAATAGTATATGAAGACACTTAAAAATGTGAACAAAAGTAATCTAATATCACACTAGTGTAAATTGCTTTAACACGTTACGGCACTTTGTAATGCCTCAAAATAGTATCTATTGTGGCAATTTCTATTTTTATGTGTTTTTTTTAAAGCCCACTTCATATTTTTATTATAGTTTTTTTTTCAATTTATTTATTTTTTATTTAGGATATACGAACCAATATGCTATTGAACTTAATAGCCATCATAATAGCAACATACATAATTTTTTTCATATGAAAGAAACTTTCGATTAAGATGAAGGAAAATGTAAATGGGAGAAAAATAATATAAGAACTAATTAAATAAATTTAAATTGAAAAACGACAATCCTACACTTTTTTAAACGTTAAGGAATCAAAGAGTAATACGCTAATGTCAAGTAGTGTTGCAACTATAAATGACTTAAAACATTTCATGGAAACATGACACTGGTGCTAGCATCCCTTCCATAGTTTAATATCTGGTGAAATTCAAATCAAAGGAGAACCAGTAAAGTGACTTCTCAAAGTTCAGCTGCTAATGATACCTATACATTTAGTGTAAATTTGTCAATTAAACAGAACAAAATCTATGTAGCTAGCCAATGTTAGCAAATGACATAATTTCATTGGAGGAAACATACCGCACTCACTGGCCATGCAACTATTTGTCCAAGTGTACCTCCAATCATCTTGCAACTACCATAAGGCCAGAATAATGATTCATCACGATGTAAAATAACTTTCACATTGATTGCACACCATTTGGGTCCTACGGGAAATCCTCCAACTTCTACATTTGGGTCTGTGCTATAAATAATACCTTTAGCCATGATTTGTTGCGATCATCTACACTTGCCAAATAAACATATGCACCATCCTGATAAGAAAAAAGGAAAATAAGTTATTACATATCTGAAATTCACTGATGCATGTTCATATTTCTACAAAGAAACGTGAAGAAAAATCACCTTGAGATTTGCCATAGCATTGCCTGAGACAATAGTTGATGATGACAAATGCTGTCCCAAGTTTACTTGTGAAGGTCCACCTCTTTGTTGTGTTGATTCTGTTATATTTGGACTTGATATCACAACTTCGGAACATTCTTGAACTTGATGCTCCCCCCGGGTTGCCTTTCCATTTAAAGTAGTAAGAGTTATAGAGATGCAGGAAAAATTGGAACGACTAGACATGATATGCAAATTTAAAATAGTTATCTCACACTTACAAATGTACTCAAAGCAGCACCACATGTGGTAGAGTTCCCTTTTGGATCAAGATAACACTTGGCATATAATTGAACATTATTCGGGGGATGCCCTATCTCATTTGCCTAGGAACAGAACTTCGAAGAGTAAATTGTGTTTTTATACAATATAAAATACTTGGAGAATTTAAAGGTCAAGGGAGCAAATATTACCATTTTAACTTTAACTCTTGCAAATGATCTCTACCCGGTTCTTTGATTCGTAACCTTTTCCTTTCTAGCTTTTTTGTTCCTATCACTTACTTTCTATTCACATAAAGTTAAAAATAGAAAAATAAACTAAACATTTTAAGTACAGATGTCTTTGCAAAGGACATTCGCACAAACCTTTGCATTCTCTAAGTTCCAATGACCAAGAATTTTGACCCATTGATCCAGCAGAACTCTTTTATCACGATAATCTACTAAATACTCTACTGGCCCAGGGCTCCAATATTTAGCTTTCAATGCACTCTTCCAGTTTTTCCACTTGTGACCAATAATAGAGGACAAAATCTTTTTCTCAGCTATAGGAGGGACATGGAACCGTAACTGCATCACATAAAAATTTTGGTCCGAATTGCTTCAAAAAGTAACTAAGAAATCATATCATAGATTGATTCAAAAGTATAGACCCATCACAACAAATATATAAAACCAAAAACATTGGTCAATCCTAACTCAGAAAGTTAAAGAATTACTTTCACAATGTCTAACATTTCATCCTTATATTCTTTTCGCATATTTCGCCAATCTTTCACATCTAATGGGCAATACAGACCATTTCTCGCCAAAGAACCTAAGAAATGGACAAGGGTGTCACATTCGCCTCCAATTGGCTCGCCATCCTCATTATACTCAACATGAATGGGCGGTAAATAAAGTGGTCGGCCCCAAACACTCTTCATTAATGTGCCTTTCCGTTTATTTCTGTTTTTAGAATTACTTTCGCTACCTAAAATGAAACAAAAAAATGCACCACAAGGTTATTTTTCACCATCTAAAGTTATTATGATACTATTGTATAGCAAAATACCTTGCTCCTGTTCTGCTCTAAAGCTACCATTGAGAGGGACATTCTCAATCCTTGAACCTTCGACATGTCCAGTGATCATCTGACTATCTAGTGCACGCTTTTGAATCACACCTTTTTAAAGATTCATAAGAAATAAATTATAAAAAAAATTAATGGAAAGTGAAGATAATTGTAGTATAACTTTTCGTACTTGGTTCCTCCATTATATAACTTACCAGGAACTATATTCACCAATTGATGTACATCTAAATTTGGATATGGGTGTTCATCCACACGTCCATTGTGAATTCTCCTGCCAACTTGGATCTTGCTTACCGTAGCTATACATTATGGAAGTTAAAAAGAAAGAATGTAAAACAAGCCATTAACAGCTAAAAAATAAAAATAAAGATTCATAGAGAAACATTAGACATACTTGCTACTTGATGAGCCGGCATGTTAAATTGACCATAAAAATTTGTAGGAGGATGATTTTTACTTGTAATCATGTTAGATTGAAGGATATTTGAACCACAAGGATGATTATCTTCTGTTGTAAAGGTAGACGGTCGTACGGCATTTGAACTATAGGAAACATTAGAATTTACTACTCTCATCATCAGCGATGGGTGGATGTCACCATTGAGATTTTGTTGATATTCTGCTGTCATGTACTGATGGAGATTTTGAGAGTGGTGTTCTTCTGTTGTTATCATCCTCTGCGTTCCAACATTCTCAACACAAGGATGATGGCTTCCAATTGTGGTCATGATACTTTGCTGGATATGTGCACTATGATTCTGATTAGTAGTTGTGACTATGCCAAGTTGCTGGAAATCACGATACAAGGATGAGGATCTTGTATCGTCGTAATCCCAGTTGGATGCTCAATCGGCTCATCTAGAAGTCTCATATCATTTTGTTTGCGCTTTCGGCTTTTGTTAGCCATAACTGCCCAAAACAGAAAGTAAAATGATTATTAAAAAAATAGAACCCAACTAATGGGTGTACCACTTTAAAATACAGAAACAAGAATCAACAAATCTAATCATAGGTGAAAATACTTTTAGGAGGAAAGAGGCATACGAACCTTACCCCCTCAATTTTTATAGCTTGTTTCAAGTCGAAGTAACTGCACTCTACCCTTCCAATCCTGAGGATGAATGATGTAGAAAATAAGAAAGTTAAATTTAACAGGAAGCTTAAGCTCAAAATAGTAGTGGTTTTATGAAAATATAAAAGCACAAAGGTCAGATCCATAGACCATTAGTCCTTTTAACAGTATACCATGATAAATAAAGAGAGACTTCACCAAAAGAAATCGGTGAAAAGATTCAAAAATCAGAAGAATCAACCCCTTTAAAACAAAACCCCAAACCAAATTTTTAGACCTTATCGTCCCTATTTTATGTCATATTCAAACCGAATTTTCGGACAAACTACAACTCCTTTTTATAAGCCGATAAAACTGAGGTAAACCACATCAAATATGTTAGATAGTTATGGAAAGAAACCTCAGACACAATTCAAATAATAGGTGTAAATAACCCTTAAACAGAAATTCAGAATTTGGATTTTAAGATTTTCAGTTCACACGTGTACTGTTTAAATCACGTTTTTGGACAATCCACAACTCCGTTTTGAAATCCGTAAAAACGGCAATAAACTACACTGAATTTAGAAGAGTTTCGTAAAAATAAATTCAAGAAAACAGTACAAAACTTAGGAGAAATAGTCCTGTCAACTGGAGGTCACGAATCTGATATTTTTTTTTTTTTGCATTTTCAGCAATGGATATACATGTTCAAATCAGCTTTTTGGACAAACTAGGAGTCCGTTTCCTAATCCGTAAAAACCATCTCCAATTAGATTCAACATAGAAGAGATTCATTTAAAGAAATCTCAGAAAAGGGTTCGGGAAATAGGAGAAACACACTGTACAACAGTCGCACTCAAACTTGTTTCTCAGTAGTTTCATCAAACAAAAGTAACCATGTAACCCTCTCTTTAAGGTTAAACTTTCCAGTTAATACTTTGAGTTTTACGCTTTCAGATCATATAATTGGTACCTCTTCATTCCCAAAAGAGCTTATAACCAAAACAGGCAACAAAAAGAACATATTCATGTCTTGATCCGTTCCTTCTTTTAATTACCATCAATCTATTATATGTTATATATCAAGTTTATGTTGTTGATCATTAACACAAATCCATAAACACACACTCTAACAAACACACTCATAAAACAACAGACATAGGAAAGAAACTGGATATTTGGACTTAAAGCAATCAGAAATTTAGAACTTCTTAAAACTCCATAAGTGAATGGCCAGATTGACATGGAAACATAGGAAAAGAAAAGGGCATGATAGACAAAAATAAGGCAGGACAAACACTATCAAAGCATCTAAACACAATTCTTCCATTCATTATCATGCCTCCGAATTGATTTGATAGTAACACAATGAAAACTACAATAAAAACCACACTGATATAATATATACAAAAGGGCCAAACCAGTCGAAACTAGCCGAGACTACACAATCACTTGGGGAAGCCCTATTTAATTGAAATTGCATTAGATGAGATTCCAAGTTGCAACTACACAAAACCAAGCTATTCAATTCCTCTCATGCAAAATTACACAAGAATAAGTAAAGAAAGGTGGAGTCGTCATCAACAACATCCAAATCCATATGACAAAAACTCAAACTCACTGTCATGTTACCAAAAACAAAAAAAACAAAATTTGGGGGATCGATTTCTTCTGAGTTCCAAAACTATGAATATGTAACGATGACTATCAAATCAAAATTTGATATTATGATACCTCATGCTTAGATTTGGAACTTGAAGACTCTTACGAATTTGAAAAGTGAGTAATAAGAGTTGTTATTTTACCTTTGGGTGGATAATTGCATAATTATACATCGATACTCTCGGTGATCGGTTCTTGAAACGTGGGTGTTCCAAAATTTGGCTGTCGATTTTAGTGTTTCTTGGCGGGTTTCCTCCTCCAGGCCTGTACTTTTTATGCTTCTATTATTTCGTAAAGTTGAAGATTTTGAAAGCAGCTATTTGATGAAGTTGGGTGGGTAGTGGTTAATTAGCAGTATTCCTTTTTTCGAAAAAAAATAGTATTCTTTTACTTTCATTTTAATAGTCAAATAATGAAAAAGAAACACAATGAAATGGATAAAGTTTTACACTCGTTTACCAGTTTTACACCAATCCTTGCCTATACATTTCTAATTATACACGCCATGTTGATTTTACACTAAAAGACCTGGAAAAAAAAAACAAAGAATTCTTTGTTTGGTACAAATAAAGAGGTTATTAGAGTCAAATAAAATTAAATTAACATATTTTGGGGACGGGAGATCCGATTAGAAATGCTAGTCATACATTCAATAAAATTGTGTTGAATAATACGTATTGATTGTTGTATTTACATAACAAAAGTTTTTTTTTTTTGGATACTACAACTTAATAGTAATAGAAAGTACCCTCTGGTTTCAAAATCTTTATCTATTTGGACTTTTAATTTTAGTACAATTTGCACCGAAAGAGTTCGGGACGAAGGGAGTGTAAGTTTTACTAATTGAACAAACATTATTGTTTATATTAATTTAAATATTACTCTCCTCTCCTTCAAAAAAGTTTACATAATAATTTGTGAATTGTACTAAAAATCATATAAGCACGAATTACAACGTGATGTATTTTTTTGTAACGGATGGAATATGTTTTATGTTGTGAGAATCGGATAAAATAGCCATTACAACTTTTTTTTGGCAAAAATAACTCTTACGTTTACTATGCGGGAAATTGGAATGAGCTGGTGTAGAAGATTGCACATCTATAATATGATTATATACATATAATAATATTGCCAATTAGAGATAGTTGGCAAATTAACATGATAGTGAATAATGAATTCAAATTGGCAAATTAACAATGATAGTGAATAAATTCATATTTTTAATTTTAAGTACTTTTGATCGTTTAACAAGATGGTCTTTTAATATGAACAAGGAGATTAAGAACTTACTATTGATTTTAATTAATAAATACTTGCTAATTCTTATTGAATTATTATGTACATCCTAGTTTTGCTCTATTTTGTAATCAAAAGTAATTTGGAATTTTAATTATTGCTTTTTTTTATCATTAAATGTTAAGTGACAAACTATTGGGTTCATTTCAGCAAGTAAATACTTTTGTTTAGGGATATAATTGAAATTAAAACATATGTTTTGGGAATAAAATTATATAAAAAGTGTAAGGGTGTCTTAGTAAAATAAAAAGTTGCCATGATTTACTATTTTTATTGGGTAGCAATAAAAATTAAGTTTTCAAAATTAAACCCAACTATTTTACCTTATTAATCTTGAGGCCCAAAAATAGGCCATGCTACTATGATTGATCATTGAGAGGAGTAATTATCACCGAGACAATCAAATTAAAAGTCACCTGAGTAAGTGCAGTAGTACTTAGGCTTAATAAGTATTAGACAAGGTACTAACATATTTAGGGACTAAGCATTTAAAATAATAAAATATTAAAAGAATAGACTTAGAAAATATATAATTATTATTCTTTTTTTTAGATTAAAAAAAAGGTTAAACTAAGGGGGAAGTGGGGAGTTCAGCCGACCCAAATTTGAGGTGGCTCTACGGGGTGTCGGGGTTAATTCTCTAGAAAACTACTACATAGTTAAATAAAAAATAAACCTCCAGTAAATTGTTTTTTTAAAAAAAAAAGAAGCAAAGAGTAAAACGGGAAGCTTTGAGAAAGAAAAGAAACTGAGAGCTTAGAAGTATCAATTTGGGGTTCAATCCAAATCCAAAGAGGGAACATAGTTTAAATCTCCAATTTATCAAGGTAATATGTTAATCTCCTTCTAGTGATTTAATTTTGAAATTCTTAGATTAAATGGTAGTAAAAAGATTCTCGAAGAGTAGCTCTTCTTTTGCTTCTATCTTCACTTATATTTGTGGAAAAAGGAGTTCTTTGAACAGAGTATAGAACCGTAGCAACAATAATAGGGAACCTTATAATCTAAGTGTAACCTGCCATTCCCATCGGAATCAAATTACAGAGCATTTATCAAAAAAAGAATCGATGTTTAAAAGGACTACACCATCTTTATTCAAAATTTGAACTCAATAAAATGCCCCAATGCGATTCCAACATACATTCTCATAGGTGAAAGACACATTATACACATAGTTTCTTTCTTCTCTTTATTCGGAAAGGTCTTTACCTAATTGTATAGCTACTCCAAAGTTCCAGACTGCAAATATTGGACCTCACTGTTGATGTGCACAAACAAAATAATTATAAGCAGAATTAAAACATAAAAGAATGGAGACTCTATATACACCACTTTAAAGCATGGGAGAACAAGAAATGTAACAAAGAAATATGAATATTGTACAGAAGATCGAGCTTGCATAGCCTAATGTGCCTGAGGGAAAAAGACACCACTCTATGAGGAAAACACATGCATTTAATTCACTAAAACCTACAGAATTACCGATTCTTAATATAGAAAAAAAAATTCAAATTGGAACATATGCTAGTGCATACCTGCAACATAATTCTAAGAATGAGAACGACTCTTATGCTTCTTGGATTTCTTTGATTTCTCTTTCAGACGATCAATGTCAATTTCAGTTCCTTCTTCTTCTTCTTCACGAACCAAAATGAAATCATCACTTTCAAAACTACCCGTGGGATTGCAAACATTACTTTGCAAGAATGTTTCAACATCTGCGAGGGATTCCATTTTGTATCGTGCTCGTGCAACAGTAGAAACAACTACATGCCAATTAGAATTGCCTGATTCTCGCACATAGAACACTTGCTCAGCTTGTGATGCTAGAATGAATGGCTCGTTGTGATGTTTCACTTTCTCAAAATTGGCCAAGGTAAACCCATCACCATCTTGCTTTAAACGCTTTCCTTTCGAAACCCAATCACATTCAAAAAGGACAACCCTTCGTCCTTTACTGTAGTCCAACTCAATAATATTTCTTAATTGTCCATAGTAATCTAACTCACTCAGTATTTGATTTTGGTCCCTTACACTTGAATAACTCGATGTTGAAGCCCTTACAACAATCCCACTATTTTGTGTTGTCCTAGAGCTTTCCAAGTCCTTAATGTGAAACCTAAAGCCATTGACAACATATTTTTCATACTTAACCCCTATGAAGTTTGGACGCTTACCTAGAAATTTTAAATCTCTTGAAATTGGATCTCCCTCAATAACTTCCAGTCCTTCAACCTAGTGAATACAACCATAATCATTATTACATAATAGAAATGAGATATTCAACATACTATAATTGTTGCTAAAACTTACCTGTTGTGCAAACCAATCAGCAAAAGTATTACTGTGAATCTCTTCTATTCGATGTGGCGCAACATTGGGGTTCGTTTGTTCAACCATTGTTTTATGTTGGCTGCAAAAGTTAACACAATTTTTTCTTCAAAATTTTGACAAAAATAACAAGAATTATTCAACAACACATATAGTTTACTAATTAAGTTACTTACTCAATGTAAGGTTGAACAGTCTTGCAATTGAATAACACATATTGATGCCCTTTCTTTAGTGTTTCATCATCAAACTCTGTAGGAGTAGCTTTTCCAAGAGGATGACCTCCCATATTAAATATATCCAATCCAGCGACATCATCTGTGTTTCTATCTTCATTCCTAGATGTTCGATTAAATTTTGTCTCTACATATTCTGCTAAATACAGAGAACAAAATGTCAAACATTCTTCAGCCAAATAGCCCTTAGCAATTGATCCTTCAAGTATACTTCTATTGCGCACATGTGATTTCAGAGTTCCCAAATACCTTCAAATATGTATACAAGGAAAAAAAAAGTCATTAGAATATTAAGTCATCTTTTCACAATGTTCAGTAGCACAGAGAAGCGAATCATAAAGGAATTCATTAAAAAAATAACTATTACCTTTCTATTGGATACATCAAACGATAGTAAACTGGGCCTGCAAGTTTCACTTCCGTAGCTAAATGTACGGGTAGATGAACCATAATGTCAAAAAATGATGGGGGAAATATTTTCTCCAGCTCACAAAGTATCACGGGAATCTCATTTTCCAAACGAGCCACGTCTTCAGGAAAAATTTCTTTCGAGCATAGTTCTCTAAAATACGCACACAATCGTAGCAAAGGAGAACGTATTGACGTCGACAACATTTTTCTCAAAGCTATAGGAAGTAATTGTTGCATCAAAATGTGATAATCGTGACTTTTTAGGCCAATAAGCTTAGGTGGTGTTAGTTGAACACATCGGGAGATATTCGAAGAATAACCATCAGGAACCTTAACATTTCGTAAAATGTCACAAAATGTGTTCTTCTCGTCCCTATTCAGCTTATATAATGCTGGAGGTATGTAAACTTTCCCAGATTCTTTTTCAACTAGATGAAACTCTGGTCTAATCCCCATCTCTTTTAAATCACGCCGTGAATTATAATTGTCTTTCGACTTACCTTCTATATCCAACAAGGTTCCACAAATACTTTCGCAAACATTTTTCTCAATGTGCATGAAATCAAGATTGTGACGAACAATTCAAAAAATATGCTCCTTTTTTTCCAACTAAAAGGCAACTCTGGATTGCCTTGAACCCCTATTCCAAGCCTTATAGAAAAATCCTTTAGTTCATCAATTACCATATCACCTGATAATTGTTGTGGAGGAGTTCCATTCTCAATTGAACCATCAAAGAGTTGAGCATTTTTACGAAACCGATGTTCTTTTCCTAAGAATCTCCTATGACCCATGTAACAAAATTTATTACCTTTTGACAACCAAAATGAATGTGTACCTTTGTGACAAGTAGGACATGCAAATTTACCTTTGGTACTCCATCCTGATAAATTTGCATATCCTGGAAAATCACTTATAGTCCAAAGTACAGAAGCATGGAGTTTAAAATTCTGCTTACTTGATGCATCATACGTTTCAACTCCATCTTCCCATAGTTCCTTCAAGTCAGCAATAAGAGGTTGCAAATAAGTATCAATATTTTTTCCAGGAGCTTTTGGGCCAGGAATCAAGAGAGACAACATAAGATATGGTTGTTTCATGCACTATCCATGGCGGAAGATTATACGGCATTAAGATCACTGGCCACGTGCTATGATTTGTATTCATAGTTTTGAATGGATCAAATCCATCTGAAGCTAAACCCAATCGAACGTTGCGAGCATCTTTAGCAAAATCTAGATGTAAACTATCAAATGTATGCCATGCCGGAGAATCGGCAGGATGCCTCATGTAAGCCTCTTGTTTACGCCCTTCAACATGCCATCTCATATGACAAGCGGTTTTTGCAGACATAAACAATCTTTGCAATCTAGGTTTGATGGGAAAATACCACAATACTTTTCGTCCAATCTTTCTTTTATCGCCCTTGGGGTCCTTTGTTGATGTTTTCCACCTAAGTTGTTTGCATGTCTCACATGACTCTTTTCCCTCATTCTGTCCCCAATATAATGTGCAATCATTTACACAAGCATCAATTTTCTCATAACCAAGTCCTAAATCTTTCATCAATTTCTCAGCTTCATAGTATGATTTAGGTATCTCAACCATGGCATCAGGAAATGCTTCTCTTAATAGGTCCATCAACATATCAAAAACCTTATTGCTCATTTTCCCAAGACACTTTAGGTGCAACAAACGAATTGTAAATGAAAGTTTGGTTAAACTTTCACATTTTTCGTGTAACTTCTTTTGAGAAGAGTCAATTAACTTATAAAAAATCCCAGCTTGGCCCCTAGGAACCTCAACATCTCTAGCAAAATCATACACGTCTTGCATGTTAAGATCATCTTGCGGAACACCAAAAGCATCATGAACTAAACCACTCATGTCATCAGTATGTGCTGAAGTTTTGGGACAATCACGTTGAGCCTCACACCTAGTTACACCACTCCTAGGAAGCTCTCCATGAGCAATCCATAAATTGTACCCAAGAATAAACCCCCTGGTGAACAAGTGTTCAAATGCTTTATCTCTACTAGCAAACATAGTGTTCTTGCAATCCTTGCATGGACATAATATCATCTCATTCACCGACGCATTTAAAAAGGCAAAGTCTTAAAAAAACCGAAGTCCATTTAAGTACTCATCACTAACTCTTGACATGTTCATCCAATTTCTATCCATAATATTACAGATGATATTTCCAAATTCTGCTATCAAAGAAAATGAAGAAAATATATCACACATCTATAATCTATTCATGGGAAAAAAACAGAATTATGTAGTAGATACATACACAAAGTTACTCCCTAGGCTTCATTTGTTATCCAAATTAACACACTTAATATCATAATAAAAATGTAAACCAACTTACTAACTCTTGCTGCAACATTACAACATGACATAATAGGATTTTCCATTAGGGCCAATATTAGATGAAAATAAGCACATAAAAAAAAAAAAAATTTCTGAACCAATAGAAGTTTAAAGGCAACAACCCAGCAATTTACTAAAGTGATGACACCATCAAGTTGACACAAAGACTCGTGTCCTAGGAAAATTAATTACAAAAACAACAATAGTGAGAAAGATTGCAATCCCAAGGTGTGTACAAAGGTTTTCCTAAGATGTGGCAGCCATTAAGTTAAATAATAGAGGTTAAATTCCAACTCTTACCTGAGGTGTGTACAAAGGTTTACCTCAGTCTAGTTTCTTAGGGACTTAAGCAAAGAGTATCTAAACTCTCATGGATTGGTTCAAAAGTACCATTTTGTAACTTCAGGAATCCTACTATATTTTTGATACATGAAGAGTGAAAAAAGAGAAAATCTAATGAGAAAAGGGTAATAAGTCAAAGAGAAATAAGGTTTCCAAATTAGTTCATCAATTCTGAAATTTCAGAAAAAACAGTGGCGAGGACCTCACTTCGTTGTGAATTTTCCATTAAACCAAATGTCCAATTTGCAAGTGGTCAAAACTAATAAAAACTAGGTTGAAAAAAGAGGATATTCATTGAAAGAAATCAGGAAAAATTATTAATAAAGCAGAAGAAATCAGATCTTTAAAACTGTGTCCTGCACCAGAATTTTGTGTCTAGTTTATCCGTGATGAATGGCCATTTTCAAATCCCGTTTTCGAGCAAACCATGAGTCCGTTTGATAAACTGTAAAGACCAGAGTAAACTACATTGAATGGAGACGGGATTCATGAAAAGAAATCCCTCAAAACATTTTTAGAACTAGAAGAACATGGCTCTGCAAAACAGCTACTCAGACTAAGCATTTTCGAAAAGATTCATAAACCAAGTCATTGTGCAAATGGACTTCCTTTTGAGGCTATCACTAAACCAATTGAAAAAAACTAAAAGAAACACTATAAATTTTGTCAAATAAGGTCTGAAATCAAGTAAAAAAGTTTAGCAAAACAAATGCAGAAAGACAGAGATTTTAGTCTCAAGAACGGGCTTTTTTTCGGTACTCTAAGAATCAATTTATACACATCTTACTACTCAAATTATCAATGCGTGTACTAATCAACAAAGCAAGGATCACTCCAGATATACTCCTCTACTTTAAGCCATAGAGATCAGGAAGATTGAAAGCACCATCTCCTTTATTAATATACAGTTGCTAAGTTTATGATATAAGATGAAAGGAACATGCTCCATGTCAATCCTAGTTCATCTGCCTGTATTTCTTCAATCTACCAATCGATAAACTTTCTAAATATCTGATAGTTATATTAAATCCAGACAGAAACTTCATCAAGTTATTTACAGTAATTCCAAGATGATTGAGCTAAGGGATGATAGAATTACTTACCCTTGAAACTTGCCGACGCCCCTTAGTTCCCAAATCTCAATTTTTTGTGAGTTTCTTGTTCATTTTTTCAGTTTCCTTTCTCACATTTATGTCCTCAATTCGTCCCGTTCCTTCCAGCCCTTTTCCTTCTTCTTTTATTTGAAACTAATTCTACTATTATTTTATCAAGCTTGCTTAATAGGTTTGGTCAATCTTAATTTTAACTAATGCTAACGTTGGACAACTCCTACTTGGAGTTGATCCACTAGATATACTACCGCATATTATTATTTAGCTCGGTTCTGTATATTTAATTCATAAACAGACTATACTGAATTCCCAAAACCATAAAACAAACTTTTAGCTCGGTTATGTATTTAATTCATAAACAGATTAAAGTGAATATTGTGATGTCACTTAGCAAATGGCGTCTTATTTAGTAACCTCAAAAGAAACATCTTCTGTCAATAATCGGAGCCAAAGTTCAAAGTAAAGCAGAGCTACAAATTCTTACAATACAGAATAAAACCAAGTAAAAAATCAAGACCACCAAAATCGATACCAAGAACAAAAATATAAATTACCTTAGAGTAGATGCAATTTCCCGATTGCCAAGTGATGAGAGCGGGAAAAGGAAATCAAAACTACGTTTCTCGACGGGAAAGGTGCGACGCAACAACGGAACAGAGCCAAATGGAGTGAAATTTTTTACTTTTTTAAAAAAATTGAAAGTAATTACTTCTGAGACATGATTTTTTTTTTTTTGGAAATCCGTTTGTTTATTATACATTAAATTGAAAGAGGCTGGTTTTATGAAAAAAAAAAAAGTGCACACCTATTTGTTTTGAAGGAAAAAATTAAAAAAAAAAAGGTGAAAGTTTGAGGCACTTTAGAAGTTGAGGCAGGAGTTTATCTTTTTATTATTTATTTATATATTGGTTAGATAGTGCCATATTAGATACCCTTCACGTCAATGCCTTCTCAAAGCATCTATTATCGCACTTATTTTTAATGCCTTAAAACCATTTAAGATTAATGTGGTTAAAAACTAATTTTCTAGTAGTGCCCTAATCTAACCCTAATTATACATACACTAACATTCCCCCTCAATCTGAACGGGAGGTAGGCAAACATTCAGATTGTCCTGAAAATCATCAAATAAGACTTGAGGCAAGTCTTTAGTCAAGATATCAGCAAACTGATGAGAGGAGGGAATATGTAAAACATGAATAGAGCCCTGCGCAACTTTCTCACGAACAAAGTGAATATCAATCTCAACGTGTTTTGTGCGAAAATTCTGAACAAGGTTAGTAGACATGAAAATGGCACTAACGTTATCACAAAACACGATAGTGGCAGTAAGCAAGCTTATAGACAACTCAGAAAGTAAAGAATGCAACCAGCATATCTTGTCAACCACATTAGCAATAGCGCGATATTCAGCCTCTGCACTAGAGCGAGAAACAATGGGTTGGCGTTTGGAAGACCAAGAAACAAGATTGGAACCCAAGAAGACACAGTACCCTGAAGTAGAGCGGCGGGTGTCAGGGCAACCAGCCCAATCAGCATCAGAGTAAGCAACGAGTTGATTAAGGGCAGTAGGCTTGAGAGAGAGACCATAATGAAGAGTACCCTTCAAATAACGAAGAATACTTTTGACTACCTAACAACGAGATTCACGCGGGGCATGCATAAAAAGGCAAACTTGCTGAACAGCATAAGCAATATCCGGGACGAGTGAAAGTGACATACTAAAGAGCACCAACAATGCTACGATATTCGTAAGGATATGAGAATAAAGCACCATCATGGTTAGACAACTTGCCCTTGCTGTCAGAGTGTGGGCCAAGTTAGCCGAGGAAAGCTTACAGCGGTCCAATAGACTGGCAATATATTTGGACTGAGTCAAAAAGAGACCATCAGAAGTACGAATAACTGAGATGCCTAGAAAATAGTGGAGATCACGCAAATCAGTCATAGTAAATTCCTTCCGCAATTTAGCAATGATGGAGGCCAATAAAGAATCAGAGGAGGCAGTAAGTAGGATATCATCAACATAGAGCAGGAGAACAGCCATATCCTCACCATTGCGATAAACAAACATAGAAGAATCTAATTTGCTACAACAAAAACCATGTGAGGAAATAAAAGAGGCAAACCGGTGAAACCAAGAACGGGGTGCCTGTTTCAAACCATAAAGAGCACGATGTAACTTACACACATAATCCGAATACTGATGATGAACAAAGCCAGGGGTTGCTTCATGTAGACAGCCTCTTGCA